GTGTGTACACCACACTGTTTATTAATTTTTTTTAGGTCATTGTAGAAGGAGAGGTTTTCTCATTCTTATCTCCTTAATGACCCTGAACCATTTTTTGGATAAGTTGTTTAATGTATTTTCCCCCTCTTTCTTAGTTTGTATCCTTAATTTAATGTTAATTTAATGATAGTTTATAGACTATATATATAAATAAAATATATAAAAATAATAATAATAATAATAATAATAATAATAATAATAATACGATGTTTAAGTTCTTAATTAATTCAATTCGTTTTGAATATAATAATATTTCTTATAGTTATTTTATAAGAATGTTTACTCATAGTAAATATACTCTGATTAGTAAGAATGAGGTTGTTAATAATAATAATAATGTTGATAATAATAGTGTTGATAATAATAATAATCTAAATAATAATTCGAATATTAATAATAATATGAGTATTAATATAGATACTATGAATAATAATAATATTACTAATAGTGTTAAGGTTAAAAATAGTATTATTAATAATGATAAGAGTTTAACTAATTTAAAGGCTATATTAAGGGAAGTTAATAAAGAATTAGATATAGATAATAATGATCCATTATATGTACAGAATAATTTAGAAAAGATAACCGGAAGATTAGAGAAGGTAGATTGTAATATATTTATGTGTTTATTAGATAAACGTATAAAGAATTATATATTAGAATTAAGATCTGAAATAATTAGTAGACATGGTCCTGATGTACTTTTGTATAAGTCCAGTGATTTATATAAATATGTTAGTTGTTTCTCTAGTAGTGAGTTAGCTGATTTATATGTTAGTGTTATATTTTATTTAATGGTAGAAAATCATAAAGGTTTTGAAATACTAAAGATTAGTAATGTTAATAATTTTATATATAAATGTTGAATAGATATGTATGTATATAAACAATATCTTATATATTGTAAAAAGAATACTAATTCAATTAGTTTTAAAGATTGATATATTAATGAATTTAATATTAGTTTAATAAATCAACCTGTAGTTGAATACTTATTAAGTAATGAAATATTAGAGACTTTGATAAGTTTTGGTTTAATAACTATAAAAGCTATTAAGGGGCTTAAAGTAAATAGAATATATAATATAGTTAGTTTTACTAATAAATTTAATGATCTTATAACTAAAGATACTCTTAATTTTGATAAAAATGGTCGTTATATAGGTCGTACTTATAATGTATTGAATGGTTATCTACCTATGGTTTGTCCTCCTGTACCTTATAGTGTAGATACTAATAGTGATGGTGTTTGTTTCTATTTTGGTGGTTATCTTAATAATGGTAAGAAATATTATAATAATATAATTTATAATAAACCTTTGTATAAATATCAAACTGTTATATCTCATGGTAATACTGATACTGTATTAGATAGTGTTAATCGTATGATGAGTGTACCTTATAGAATAAATAAAGAATTATATAATTTTATATTAAATAATAATAATGTTTATAAATTTTATATACCTTTAAATGAAAATCATCCTTATGAAGAGGATATTTTATCAGGTAATAAAAAAATATCTGTAAAAAGACTTAGAGATTATGAAAGTTTTATATCTAAAAGAGCTTTAGATAATGGTATTCTTGATATAGCTTATACATATCTTAATATTAATAAATTCTATATTCCTTTAAGATTAGATTTTAGATCACGTATATATTGTGATGTTAGATATTTACATTATCAAGGTAGTTCTTTAAGTAAGTATTTACTTGAATTTGCTAATCCTGTTAATATTGATATTAATAATGAAATAGCTATTAATTATTTAAAAATATCTGGTGCTAATGCTTTAGGTAAAGATAAATTATCTTTTATAGATCGTGTTAAATTAATTGATAGTAAACATAATGAGATAATTAATTATCATAATAATAGTATTATTAATGAAGCTGATGATAAATTAGCCTTTTTAGCTTTTTGTATAGAATATAATAAATATAATAATGCTAAAATTAATGGTGAGTCTTTTTATACTTCTCATTATCCTATTGGTTTAGATTCTACATGTAATGGTTTTCAACATATATCTATGCTTATTAGAGATATATATTTATTAAATAAATTAAATTTAGATAATAAAGGTTTTACAGATATACCTGATGATTTTTATAATTATTGTACTATTAAATTAATAGATTATTTTGAATCTTGTATTAAAGATAAAATATTAAAAGATGATATATTACAAAGTATGCAAACTTTACTAAATGTAAGTATACCTCGTAAAATGGTAAAGAAATGTATTATGATTATACCTTATAATGCATCTGTTCGTACTATGGCTGAATCAATATTTAATCAATTTAATAAAATAGATGATGATCTATATAGTTATATTGATAATCCTAATATAGTGTTAAGTTATAAAGATATTAAAGTTATAGCTGACTCTTTAAGAGAAATATTAAATAGAATATTCCCTAATATAGCTAAATTTACTGATTACTTTAATAAAATAGCTATTGTAGCTAATAGGTTAAATATACCTATACCTTGAGAAACACCTTCTGGTGTACATATTAGACAATATTATCAAGATAGTCGTAGTATTAATGTTAGATTTAATCAATATTCTTTATATTCTTTAAATTTAAGTTTACCTTTAGATCGTCTTAATGTTACTAAACAGAAAAGAGCTTTAATGCCTAATTTTATACATTCATTAGATTCTACATGTTTATCATTATTAATAAATAATCTATGAAAGTTAAGTGAATTTAATAAAAATATATATGCTATTCATGATTGTTTTGCTACTAATCTAACTGATGTTCCTTTATTAATGACTTCTTTAGCTGATGTTTATATTAAAGTATATCAAGATCGTAATTACTTACTCGATTTTCATAAAAAATTTATAGATAATATAAGTACTATATATCCTGAAATCTTTCCTGATGATATCGATAAATATGATTATACTAGAGAATTAGTATTACCTTTACCTGTTAATATTCGTGTATCTAAAAATCATACACAAATTAAAATTCCATCATTAAACTTTATTAATATGGATAATCATTATTCAATAAAACATGAATCAACTTATCTTGCTAATTAATGATATATTTAAACATATAATTATTCCTATAAATAAATATTCCTATATAATTGTATTCCTCATCTTCTTTACGCCCCCCTCCTTTGGAAAAAGGAGCTGAGAACTAAGCGTTGAAATTGATATATATCTTAATCAATAGGGGACTAAATAATATAAAGTTATGATTTGCAATGATATAAACTCTATTCATTTCCTTCGTTAAAAATAATATAAAAGATATAAATTAGTTAATTAATCTATAATTAAATATAGTAAATATACTCTTAGTATTGAAATAAATATAAAATATATATGATATAATTAATTAAGTGTATATAAAATACAATAAGAGTATTCTAATATTAATCTATCTCCTTTCTTTGAAAGGGGCAAATACTAAAAAATAAAGACTAAAAAGTGTTCTAATATAACTAATATACCTAAATATTATTAAATACTAATCTTTTTTCCGCTATATATTGTCAATATTCTTTTATTTCTGGAATTAAAAATTATTAATATCTATTTAGTTAAACTCTATATATGTTATTACTATTTAATTAGCTAACTATATACATATATTATAACTCTTTATTTAGCTAACTATATACATATTATAACTATTTATTTAGCTAACTTATTTCCGCGCTCCCCTCCGAATACTTCGATTCGGAGGGGTGTCTAAAATCTATAATTTCTATAGGAGAAGTAAAAAAGTTATATATATATTAAATATATATATATAAATGTAAAAATAACTAATATATATAAATTAAAAAACAATATTTTATGTCCTATATAACAAGATGGCTATTTAGTACATCACATAAAGATATAGCAATATTATACTTAATCTATGGTATGATTAGTGCTATGGTAGGTACAGGAATGTCAGTAATAATAAGATTAGAGCTGTCAGGATCAGGTCCATTATATTTAAATTCTGATAATCAGGTGTATAACGTTCTAATCAGTGGACACGCACTAGCGATGATATTTTTATTTGTAATGCCTGTGATTATAGGCGCATTCGGGAACTTCTTTTTACCTATAATGCTGGGAGCCGTAGATATGGCATTTGCTAGATTAAATAATATTAGTTTCTGATGTCTTCCTCCTGCATTAGTATGTATAATAGGTTCTTTACTAATAGAAAATGGACCTGGTGTTGGATGAACAGTATATCCACCTTTAAGCTCAATTAGTGCTCATTCTGGTCCTTCAGTAGATTTAGCTATATTTGCTATACACCTAACTAGTATATCTAGTCTTCTTGGTGCTATTAATTTTATAGTTACAACATTAAATATGCGTAGTATCGGTATTCATATGATAGATATGCCTTTATATGCTTGATCTATATTCTTTACTGCATGATTATTATTATTATCATTACCTGTACTTACAGCTGGGGTAACATTATTATTAATGGACCGTAACTTCAATACTGGTTTCTACGATGTAGCTGCCGGTGGTGACCCTATATTATATGAACATCTGTTCTGATTCTTCGGTCATCCTGAGGTTAAATATGTAGGCCTCATAACGTTGCTGTATGCTGGAACCCCTTCGCTAAATAGTTCTAAATACTCCACCTTAAAAGGCATAGTAAAAAAGTTAGAACAATGAAGGAAATCAGCAGGTAACATTTTATATATAAGAAATGGAACCTCAGAGACTCTACGCAACGGAGTTGTAGTAAATTTAGAAAATGTTAAACGTATATCAAATCACGTACCTAAACATTTAAAGCCTCTAAATAAAGAACAATTAGGATATTATTTAGCAGGATTAATTGACGGTGATGGTCATTTTAGTAAAACTCAACAATTAATTATAACTTTTAGTTCTCCAGATGCATTTCTAGCCTATTATTTGAAAGAAAGATTAGGTTACGGTAATGTAAGAAAAGTAAAAGATAAAAACGCATACCTTTTAATTGTATCTAATAAAATAGGTATGTTAAATGTAATAAACTTGATAAATGGTAAATTAAAAACAGAACACAGATTTAACCAAGTAGTTAATAATGTATTAAGTCATACTAAGTATACAGATATAAATATTAATTTTACTATCGATTCAAGTAAAAATTTGGATAATCACTGACTAGCAGGTTTCTCTGATGCGGATGCTAGTTTTCAAATTAAAATTATTAAACGTATTATCAGAGATAAACCGGAAATAAAATTAAATTTTCAAATTTATCAAAAAAGTGATTTATTGTTAAATATTATAAAAGAATACTTAGGTGGAAATATTGGATATAGGAAGTCTCAAGATACCTATTACTATGATTCTACTAATTTTGGTTCTGCTAAAAAGATTATAGAATATTTTGATAAATACCATTTACAATCTAAAAAGCATATAAGCTATTTAAGATGAAGAAAGGTATATAGATTAATACAAGACAAAGAACATTTAACATATAAAGGGTTATCTAAAATACTAACCATTAAATCCAATATAAATCGTCATAAATAAAATACTACAACTTAAGATAAAGTCCTAACAAGGATATAAAAATTCTTGAGTATTAATTAAAATATATTGTGTTATAATACATAGTTATTTTAATAATCAAAATATTGATACATATTAATCATACCTGGTTTTGGTATAATATCACATGTTATTGCAACTTACAGTAAAAAAGAAATCTTTGGTCGTATGGGAATGGTATACGCGATCGCAAGTATTGGTTTACTTGGATTCTTAGTATGAAGTTGATTAGTGGCGGCTTCACCTTATAGTGATATAAGGAATAAAATTAATTTCGCTATATGCTGGAACGATTTAAAGCAATATAGTACATTGAAATGTAAAAATCTATATTGTTATATCCAATCAGCAGGCAATTTGTCACTTGATTTACTTCCCCGAAAATTAATATGTAAATATATACAAAGCGCCTCAGAGACTACACGCGAAATATCTTTTAATTTATATGATTTTCATAAATATAACCAAATTTTAACTAATAAAAATGATTTATTATATAAAAATATAAACTCTATACCTGATGATTTCTTAATATGGTTAATAGGATTTATAGAAGGAGATGGAGCTATCCAAACCTACTCTGACAAATTTAAGTTTGTATTAACTCAAAAAGAATCTAATGTATTATATCTAATACAAAATATATTAGGTATAGGTAAAGTAGTACATTATCCTCAAGGTAAATATAATAATAAAAATGATTTCTATAGATTAATAGTTACTAAAAATTCACATATATTGTTATTAACATATTTATTAAATGGTAATTTAGCTATAAATTCTAGAATAAATCAATTATCACATTGAATTAATCTATTAAATATTAAATCAATAATTAAATTAAATAATAAAAATATTAAATTAATTAATAAACCAGTAGATATTTCATTAAATGATCCTTGATTATCAGGATTTACTGATGCTGAAGGTTGTTTCAATATATCAATTGAAAATAATAGAAGATATTCTTCTAATCAGAGAATTAAACTTAGATATTTATTAGATCAAAAAGATGAAATAATATTGAATAAAATTAAAAATTTATTTAGTTTAGGTAAAGTAACCCTTAGAAATAATACTAATGGTGTATATAGATATACTATTACAGGATTAAAAGGAAATTATAAAATAATATCTTATTTTAATAAATATCCTTTATATACTAAAAAATCTATATCATATAATAGTTATAATAAAGTCTATAATATGTTAATAAATAAAGAACATTTAACAGAAGAAGGATTAATGAAGATTAGAAGAATAAAAACTAATATGAGTATAAATAATAGTTTAACAACTAAAACAGGTAGAAAATCCTATAAATTAAAAGATAAAGATATAGTCCGATACTTTTATTTTAAATAGAAGCATAATAATAAATTATGGGTAAATATAAATAAAATATTTATTAACGAAATAGCACCACATGTACATAGTAGGTTTAGACATTGACAGTAGAGCGTACTTTACTAGTGCGACAATGGTCATTGCGGTACCAACCGGCATTAAGATTTGGGCGTCCGTTCGAGTATGTATGAAATTTCGAATATATAGAAATATATATAATAATATATATGCTAAATTCGACTATATAATTGAACATATAGAAAGCTATAGTACTTACCTTATAATCGTGAGAGGAGGGGGACAACAGCCTGTACTAAAAAGAGATATGAGGTCATCTGTAGTAGATATTTTAGAATATCTGATCAAGATACTCTTCGAAGCTAGTGATTATATATGGAATAAGTTGAATTACTGAACTCAAAGTTGTTTTGGGAAAGATTCTTCCTTTTCTTGGGAACTACACTTACATGAATATATTTGTTGCTTAGTGATAAAAATTTGCGCTGGAGTTAGTTCAATATTAATAACAAATACATTACTTATCGCATTAAGGACAGACAACAAAATGAGATCCATATATAATATAGTAATTAATCAATTACTACACGTCATACATGCTACCGGAGAAGTCTCTAAAAAGGAATTAACTTTATTTAATTTTAATTTTAATTTTTATAAAAAGAGATGGCAGAGGTCTCGTAGTAGTATGAGTAAATATACTCAAATGAAGGGGACTAAATACTTAATTATGAATAATAATATTAATCAAATTAGGTCATATTCAACGAGAAACAAAAAAGATAACTCTGTAATTGTACAATTACAGGAAGAAAACGCCAAAGAGTTAGATTTTTTAGTTAAACATTGACAAAATTGTATAAATAATCCTACACGTATATTTAAAGATTTAAAAGGTTATTTAAAATTAGATGGTATATGATTAGCATCATATATAAAGATAATGAATAACAGAGGATCGACAGTCGGACTTGATAAACTAGCAGTTGATTCATTAACTCGATTACGAATATATGAATTAAAAGAAGCAGTTTTATCTAATAAATTCAATTGAATTGGAAATAATGATAATATATCTGACTCAGGAAAGACACGATCAATTGGAATTCCTAATATAAATAATATACTTGTACAAGAAGTTATAAAAATGATAATTGAACCTATATATGAAACTACATTTTCTAATAATTCTTTTGGTTTTAGACCTAATAGAAGCTGTCATCATGCTCTTAAATATTATAATACTTATATGAAAGAGTGTATATGATATATAGAAGGTGATATAAAAGATTATTTAAATATAATAGATCAATTTAGAATAATACAGATAATTGAAACTCGAATCAAAGATCCTATCATACTTAGATTGATACGGACTGGACTTAAAGCCAAAGTCTTTGATGATAAAATTGAGTATCTACCTGAAGTGGGAACACCACAAGGAGGAATACTTAGTACTCTTATCACTAATATTTATTTAGATAAATTTGATAAGTTCATGGAGGATTTATGTATTAAATACTTCTGCGCCCCCCTCCGAAGGAGGGGGGCGAAAGGTTCTATTAAATCTAATAATCGACAAAAATCATCAGAGTATAATGCTTTAATGAGATCAGGAAATAAGAAAATGGTTTATTCTCAACATTTAAGTCGTAATAATCCATTTCAAGAAGAGTACAGATCAGTTAAATATATCAGATATGCTAATAAATTTATTATAGGTATAAATGGAAGTTGTAAATTAGCATCAGAAATTAATATATTAATTAATAAATTCTTTAAAGAAGAACTTAATTTAAATGATGTTAATCTACAGATTAGACATATTAGCAAAGGTATACACTTTCTAGGCTATATTTTAGGTCGTAATACTTACTTTATTAAACAAAGTTATAGTGGTAAGTTGGTTAATCGAAAGATGATAATTCCAACAATATATATAAATATGAAAAAAGTTATATCTCTTCTATCAGAACTAAGATTTTGTGATGGTAGTGGTAAACCTATACCTAATTTCAGATTTATTAATTTATCACAATATGAAAGTAATAAACGTATTAATATGATATTATATAGTTTATGTAATTGATGAAGTATAGCTAATGATCGTAAACAAAAGGTTGCATATGTAGCATATATACTAAGATATTCATTAGCTAAAGTTTATGCAGCTAAATTTAAAGCCAATACTGTAGCTGCAATATTTAAACTAGGAGGTAATAATCTTAGTCATCCTATTGGAGCTAAAAGAAAATCAGCAGTAGGTATTCTTAATAAAGTTAAAATACCAGGTATATTATACGATAGATATCATAAAATACCTAAAAGGGGAAGTAGTAAGTTGTTCAACAAATGAAAACCCGATTATATTAAAGCTATTGAAAATAATAATACTGAAGAACTGATTATGTATTTAAATGAAAGTTATGCTAGTAATCCTTTACATTCTTTAAAATGACAATTACAAAAATCACTTAGACATCAAGGTGTCCCTTGTGATAGATGTGGAACATTTGATAAAGTACAAGTATATAATATTAAGGATCTTAAATTTAAAAAGAGTAAAATAGCCAAATATATAAGAGCTATTAATATATCTAAAATAGCTTTATGTCATAAACATTATTTATCATTGAAAGATTAATATACAATTAGTCAGTGAAACCACGTTAGAGTTGGAGAGCCCGGTGATAGGTAACTATCTCGCCGGGTTCGGAGAGAGCTTTGGATCTTTTAAATTAAGGGTATGATCTATTTTTAGAATGCTATTTATTAGATCTCAATTCTACTCTATTTAGTTGATTAGCTACTTTATATGGTGGTGAAATACGTATTGCTGTACCAATGTTATTCGCTTTAGGTTTCTTATTCTTATTTACTGTAGGTGGATGTACTGGTATTATGTTATCTAATGCTAGTATTGATATTGCATTCCATGATACTTATTATACAGTTGGTCATTTCCATTATGGTGCGCCATTTCATTATACATTATTCTCGTGATCAATTATAAACCTAGTGTTTATGATGACGATCACCCTTATTGGATACTCCGTTTATTATTGCCCCCCTCCGAATCGAAGGATTCGGAGTGCGGAAAAATATTATTATATACGTAAGGTAAGTCAATGAGCTAACCTATCCTGGGCGCAACCAGGAGGGGACAATAGCATGCTCATAAAGGCGAATGAAAGAGTTTCGTCAAGATATGCAGTGTATGGTGAGGTTAACGAACTCTTAACAGCAATTGGAGGGTCAGAAATCCCTACTGGTTCAAAACCAGTTGTCGGATCTGTTCAAGGGGTTTACATAATGCCCAGTGAATTGAGAATCCAGTCCGACCCAGCAGAAAGTATCATGCTTATAGAAAGTATCATGCTTATAGAAAGTATCGTGCTTATATTGCCAGAGCACCTAACCACAGCTAGAAAAATGTATAGGAACTTGGGATCATCTGAAACGTGAAAACGTATAGATGACAGAGGTTCCATATTAGGTGGAATATGACGACCTATGCGTGCTCTGCATTCATCGGCGTCCCCACTGAAGGGAACTAGTCAAGGGTTGTCAAGTAAAAGTAAAAGTAAAAGTATGCCCGCGGGTATAGCTAAGCTAGACAAACTATTAAAAAACATAAATTATAAATCAGATTATAAATACACTAATATTCGTTCTATTATAGCTAATTCTGAATTCTTATTGTATGCATATAGTCTTATTAAATATAAATCAAATAATATGACATATGATAAGAAAACCTTTGATGACCTTTCTTTACATGACTTTGATGTTATAGCTAGAGAAATAGGATCTGGAGCTTTTAAGTTCCGTCCCAGTCGTAGAATAAAAATATCTAAACACAAAGGTGGTGTTAGACTGTTAGGAATCCCTTCACCTCGTGATAAAATCGTACTAACAGCTATGAAGGTTATTCTTGAAACTATATTCGAACCACATATGTCTATATACTCTCATGGTTTTAGAATTAATAAAAATGTACATACAGCCTTATACCAAGTGAGAAGTATTTTCAAAGAAATATCATGGTTTATTAAGGTAGATATAACCAATTGTTTTGATAATTTATCTCATAATATTATTATACAAAAGGTAGCAGATAAAATACAAGATCAAGTATTTTTAGATCTTTTATACAAAAGTTTTAATGCTGGATATATTGATCCTAGTAAACAATTCTTCCCCCCTCTGATTGGAATTGGAATTGGAAAGGATTCGGAGGGAATAATACCTAAAGCTGGGTATACTCAAGGTTATAGTATAAATCCTATTCTGTCTAATATATTACTCACAGTATTGGATAAATGATTAGAAGATTACTCAAATAGTTTTAGCAAAGGTACTCGTCGTAAGACCAACCCTTTGTATGATAATTATATTAATCGCATTCCTAATATAAAGAATACTTTACGAACGGAAATACACAATGATAAAATACGTTCTCATATAGGTAACGATCCAGACTTTAAACGTATGAGATTTGTTAGATATGCAGATGACTGCTTAATAGGTGTCAGTGGCTCATATAAGGATTGCTGTCAAATCAAGAATGATATAACAGTATTTCTGAAAGACAAGTTGGATATTGAGTTGTCGCAAGATAAAATTAACATAACTTCAGCCACCAAGTCAAAGGCTCATTTTCTAGGATTTGATATAACCATAACTCCATATGAGAAGAGACAGTTAAAAAGAGTGTTTAGAAAGAACGGTACTACTCGCCTGGTAGTGCAGAACTCTAGACCACAAATAATAGCTCCAATACGTAAAATTGTAGCTAATCTTGAAACTGGTGGGTTTTGCAGAAAAGGTAGACGTGGAGTGCCCACTCGTGTAGGTAAATTCATTCATCTACCATTACCTCTAATTATAGATAAATACCTAGCTTTAGGTAAAGGTCTTCTTAACTACTATTCATGTGCTGATAATTTCACTCGTCTTAAAGCAAGAGTTACTTATATTCTTAAATACTCATGTGTATTAACATTCGCATCTAAACTAAAACTCAATACTATGAAGGTTGTTATACGTAAATACGGATATAATCTAATAGTTAATGAGAAAGTGAAAGGATCTATGAAGGAAGTAGCACGTTTTGATGATAAAATGTTATATCAAATAAAGTCTGGATTTAAATTATCTGATATGAAAGATTATGAATCTAAATCAACAATAGATTTAGCTATTCGAAATAAAAAACTATTCGAAGGTCAATGCAAGATAAGTGGATCTAAAAACAATATTGAAGTTCATCATATTAAACATATATCTAAAATATATAAAAATCGGTAGAGATTATATATCAAACCTAATGAGTAAAATGAATCCTTCTATGTAAGGATAGTCATAATTTATATCAATATATAATTTATTACAAATAATATATAAAGGTCAATATAATGATCTTGGTTTATAAATACTTTTAATAGAGACCCCCTTGATGGAAAGCCGTGTGAAGGGAAACTTTCACGCACGGTTTGGGAAAGGCTTCACGTGACCGCCTTCTAGGCATAGCACGGGCTGCTATTTCATTATTATCTATGGGTGCTGTATTTAGCCTTATTGCAGGTTACTACTTATGAAGTTATCCTATGTTTGGTCTAAATTATAATAAAGTTATTGGTGAAGCTCATTTCTGAACATTATTTATTTCAGTTAATCTTATATTCTTACCTATGCATTTCTTAGGTTTAAATGGTATGCCTCGTAGAATACCTCAATATCCTGATGCTTTCTTAGGTTGAAATATTATTAGCTCTTGAGGTTCTATAATGTCTATTATTTCAGTTTTAATTGGTTTATACGGTATATTAATACAGTTAACTAATGGTGAAAATATAGAAAGAGAAGAACCAGTAACTCCTGATTTCTTAGAATCAAATACAACTAGAGAAACTAGAGACTCAGATCTAGAAATGATTTTAAATAAACCTGCTTATTATCATACATTCTCTGAATTACCTATATTAATTACTGCCTAAATTAGTATTTAAATATAGTGTTATACATAACTTTTATTAATATATTATGCTCTTAATTCTGCACACCCACCTCCAAAGGAGGGGTGAGTAAAAAAGTGCTGAAATATATTGTAAAAGAATATAATTATTCCTATTAACTTATTAACTTCCGGAATGCCTTCCTCCGAAGATAATCGAATCGAAACGAATGATTAGGCTGAAATAATATAACTTAATATAACTATTAGTTATCTATTAAATTAGTATTATAACTATTCGCACCCCCTTCTTTATAAGCGCTGAAATAATATATCATTATATCTATTAGTAAACTATTTATCTAACTATTAGTAAACTATTTATATTTATAATTAATGAAACGTAAGTAAGTATAAATAAACGTAAGCGTAAGGATATATTAGCAAACGTATATAAATATATGTAAACGTATGTATACATTAGTAAACGTATATAAATATATGTAAACGTATGTATACATTAGTAAACGTATGTAAATATATGTAAGCAAACATTAATAAACGTATAGAATGCCCCCCCCCCCTTCTAAAGAAGGGGGGGGGGGGAGCGCGGAAATATATGTAGTTATTGATAACGTATATATAATCTATTCTATATCATTCAACGCTCCCCTCCGAAGGAGGGGGACATAAAGAGATATATATATTAACTAAGGTATTATAATATTATTATTTATTTATATATAACATCTTATTTATTAAATAATAGACTAACATTAACTATTAATAATTATTAATCTATATTAATATAGACTTAATTAACCTTATTATATATTTTAATCTATATTATCAATGACTAGTATCAATTAAGATAAGTATGATTAAATTAATCTATATAGTTCAGTACTCCCCCCTTCTATACGCCCCCTCCTTTGGAGGGTGCGGAGAATGAAGGGGGTGGAGGACATTTATATTTGAAATAGTTCTCTTATTAATACTATTATTTTCCTTGACAGTATTATCTTATCTTTAACTAAATTGAATTAGTTTATCATATTAATGTTTATATAGTTGTTAGAGATAACTACTCTATTTTGAGAGCTTTATTTTAATCTTATAATATTTTAATTGTAGATTTTTTATTAGCAATAATTATAATATACATTTTTAATATATTTAATAACTAAGATATATATCAGGTTATAGATTTATGCACTCTCCCCCTCAGAGAGGGGGAGGACAAGATATAGATTCTACTTGTTAATAGTATAGATTATCTATTTCCGCGCTCCGAAGAATTCGGAGGGGGGCATTCAGTAGGTAGCTAAATTAATTTTATTCCGCATATTCAATTAATTATCTATATATATATATTATTGTGTAATATAATCAATATATATTTCAGCACTTATTTATAAGAAGAGGATAATAAATATATGAATCTTTATATTTCAACAGTCAAAATATACTTCTATACTTATAAACTTATATATTTCTATACTTATATACTTCTATACATATATGATATAGGTGATGTAGATATATGTAAAACTAATCTTTCTGCACTCCCCTCCGAATCGATATCGATTCGGAGGGGTCCGTACTAATAAAAAGTATTATATTTTATATCTTATTATTATAATAATTATAGTAAATTAAATATTAACTTAAAGAAATAAATATATTTTATATTCTATATATTATACTAAATTATATATTTAAATATACTAAATCTAATATTAATAATATCTATTAATAAATAAATTAATTCTAATAAATAGAACTCCCCCTTCGTTCTCCGCCCCCTCCTTTTTACAAAGGAGGGGGCGTAAAGAAGGGCTTCCAATAAAAGTATTCTAATAACTAATAAATAGAATTAATAAAAGTATTCTAATAACTAATAACTAATAAATATTTCAGTGATTCTATAGACATTATCTATCTAGTTAAATATAGACTATATATACATTATTGCCACCCCCTCCGAATTATTCGGAGGGGAGTACGGAAATAATAATTAAGAGAGACTATATGCACATTTATAAGTTCTATAATTTATATACAATATCTAAGATATATGGTTATATATGTTTATACATATTTACATATATAAGGTTCAATTCCTTAATATCTTTTCGTATAAATATAACTGATATCTATCTAACTATATTATTAATTAATATGCCTCAATTAGTACCTTTTTACTTTATGAATTTATTAACAGGTGGAATACTTATTCTATCTTTAATTATATATATTGTAGCTACAATAATATTACCTAATATATTAAGATTATTAGTAGCTCGTACTATAATAATAAAATTATAATATCTTGTCTTCTAATTATAAATAATTAATATTTCAAGCAAGGAGATATATGCCCTTCCCTTCTTAACTTATAATGAAGTGAAAGAGTATTAAAATAATAAAATAACTCAATAGCCTAATAAAATATAAGGCATCTATAAATATCTATATGTTTTATTCACCATTAGATCAATTTGAAATAAAGCCATTAATATATATTAACAATAATTATACATTAGGTTTAACTAATTATATATTATATTTAATAATAGTTTTATCAATAATAATATTTTATAATAGTATAATACGTTCTTCATATCTTGGATCAACACGTTGAGGAGTAGTAATATTATCTATATATGATACTATACTTAATTTAGTATTTAGTCAAATAGGACGTAAAGGAGGATATTATTTTCCATTAATATTTAGTATATTTAATTTCTTATTTATAGCTAATTTAATATCAATGATACCTTATTCATTTGCAATATCAGCTCAATTAGTAGCTGTAGTATCTTTCTCATTAGCTTTATGATTAGGTAATGTAATATTAGGTTTATATTTACATGGTTGAGGTTTCTTTGCATTATTTGTACCTGGTGGTACTCCTTTACCTTTAGTACCTGTATTAGTATTAATAGAATCTCTTTCATATACATCTAGAGCTATATCTTTAGGTTTACGTCTTGGTGCTAATATCCTATCTGGTCATTTATTAATGTTAATCTTAGGTAGTTTAATAATTAGTTTAATGTCTACTAATTTATTAGGTTTTGTTAGTGGTATCATACCTATTTTAGCTGTAGTAGCTATAACTATATTAGAATTTGGTATTGCTATTATACAAGCTTATGTATTTAGTATATTATTATCAGGTTATATTAAAGATTCTGTAGAATTACATTAAATATTCTTCCCCCCTCCGAATCGAATCGAATCGAAGGATTCGGTGGGGAGCGTTGAATTATATAAGTCTTAATAGCTCAATGGTAGAGCAGTACACTGTTAATGTATGTATACTAGTTCGATTCTAGTTTAAGACGTTTAGAATGTATAGACTATGTAATAATTGATTTAATTAATACTATATCTTCTCTTATTTATTAATATTGATGATATTATTAAGTCTTAATTATCAATTAAATAATATTAAAACTTTATGACTTTAATTAGTGGAATTTGTAGCTTATTAGCTATTAGCTTACTATCTCCTGTACAAAGTATAGTGGCTTTAATAGGACTGTTCGTTAGTGTCGCTATTAACCTCTATACCTCTGGATATGTCCTTTTCGGTATATTGTATATCCTAATATATGTTGGTGCTATCGCTATCTTATTCTTATTTATATTATCCTTACTTAATATAGAATATACATATAATAACACTATTAATCCTTTAATATTTACTATAGTTATTGTATGTTTAATACCATTAGATTTATTTTATAATAATAATCTAATTTCTATAATAGATTCAAATATAGAGGGAATATCAGAGATTTATTTAGAATTAAATATAGTAGGTGCTCAATTATATACTGAGTATGCTATACCTTTAGTATTAATAGGTCTTATTTTAGTTTTATCAATTATAGGTGCTATTAGTATAACTAAATGTTAAATATAATAGAATTATTAATAATCTTTTTAAGTATATTATTAGCTGTAGCATTTTTAACTGTAGCTGAGCGTAAGACTATGGGTTATATGCAGCGTAGAGTTGGACCTAATGCTGTAGGTTATTTAGGAGTATTAATGGCTATAGCTGATGCTGCTAAATTATTATTAAAAGAAATAATTATACCTACACATGCTGATAAATTTATATTAATAATAAGTCCTATGATAGCTTTAATAAGTTCTTTACTTAGTTGAAGTGTTATACCTTTTGCACCTGGAGTTACTATATATGATAGTAATTATGGATTTATATTAACTTTAGCTATTAGTAGTATAGGTGTGTTTGGTACTCTGTTAGCTGGTTGATCTGCTAATAGTAAATACTCTTTATTAGGTAGTATTCGTTCTACTGCTCAATTAATTAGTTATGAATTAATATTAACTACTATTATATTAATATGTATATTATTAGCTGGTACTATGAATTTAAGTAAATATATAGAATTACAAGAATCTATATGATTAGGTATACCATTATTACCTATAAGTATTATATGATATATAGGTTGTATAGCTGAAACAGCTAGACCTCCATTTGATACTGTAGAAGCTGAATCTGAATTAGTATCTGGTCATATGACTGAATATTCATCATCTATATTTGTATTATTCTTTTTATCTGAATATGCATCTATATTATTCCTTTCTACATTAACAGCAATATTATTCTTCGGAGGTGGTACTGGTGTTATTTTAGCTATTAAAGCTAATGTATTTGCATATGGTTATATTTGAGTACGAGCTACTTTACCTAGAGTTAGATATGATAGATTAATTCATCTTTGTTGAATGGTATTCTTACCTTTATTATTCGGTTTAATTATATTTATACCTTCTTTAATTTATACTTTAGATAGTATAATCTTATTATAAAAATATTCATCTATATACTCCCACCCCCCTTCTTTACGCCCCCCTCCTTTTTCCAAAGGAGGGGGCGGAGAACGAAGGGGAGCTATCGATTGGTGGAAATATAGACTATCTTTAATATTTATTTTATTATATACTTCGAATGTAATATTTATTTTATTATATACTTCGAATGTAATATATATTTTATTATATACTTTGAATGTAATATATAATTTATTATAGACTTTGAATGTAATAGTACTGCCCCCCCCCCTTATATAGAATCACTGAACTAGTTATAGTTATGCTCCCCCCCGAAGGGGGGGAGCTACCAGCTGTAATAGTTATAGTATTAGTTATAATTATAGTTATAGTTATAGTATTAGTTCTAATTATAGTTATAGTAATAATACTAATTATAATAATAATTATAGTAACAATAAGAGTAAGAATAATAGTAATAGTTATAGTATTAGTAATAGTCTTCAAATAGATTCAATATCGATAATGAATGTTAATGGAATTATATTATTTGATAATCATAGTTAGTATCTACAAGATGGAGTACATCAATAGTTGATATTATTTATAATAGATATTTCTAAATAAAATATTAGAATATAATAATATTTAATGAGTACTATATTAGTATCCACGCTCCCCCTCCTTCCAAAAGGAGGGGGGCAATAATATATTAGAATTTCCGCCGATAGCTCCCCTCCTTCGGAGGGGGGCAAGAATAATATTGGTAGCTCCCCCCCCCTTCTTTACGCCCCCTCCTTTGGAGGGTGCGGAGAACGAAGGGGGGGGATTAAGTATTTAATGATTACTATACTAATTTTATAATATATAATAAGTTTATTAAATAGAATAATTAACATTAATTTATGCATTTAATATATAATAAGTTTATTGAATAGAATAATTAACATTAATTTATTAATATAAAATATAATAAATATAACAAATATAGGTGATATGATTTGAAAATATTGTTCAATACAATTGACATTAAAGTATGGTAGCTAAAGAGCTAATATTGTAATAGGAAGAATAAAGATAATTAACATCTTAATCCTAACTATAAATAGTATATATAAAGCTAAGAGAATTGAAACATCTTAGTATCTTAGTTAATATAACCAATAGGGTGTATGTAAGTATCGGTGAGAGAAAGCATATAAGCATATAAGTAATATTTAATAATATGAATAAAGTAGTTCTACTACTAATGCTAATAAACAATATTAAGTTTAAAGTACTGTGAAGGAAATAGTTAAGACTATATATTATAATATCAACTTTACTAAGTAAACTATCCGTCGAGAGCACCCCTCCTTCGGAGGGGTGCTTAATGAAAATAAAGTTTATTTTTTAATAAAAAAAGTATGATAATATATTTATATTAGTTAATAAATACTTTAATGGAGAGCAGCTATAGTATAGCGTACCTCTTGTATAATGGGTCAGTGAGTTATTTGTATAAGCGTAATTAAGAATTAAATATAATTAGTTTAAAGTTTATATAAATAGACTCGAAACCATATGATTTATATATGTATAAGTATATTAATATTAATATATATAATAATAATATGACTTAAATAGGTAGATGTAGCAATATCTTCTATAGATACGTGTATAGTAGTGAAAGACAAATCTGATATGGAGATAGCTGGTTGTCTGTGAAATATATTTTAGTATAGCCTATATATAATGTAATACTTGGTAAAGCTCTGAATAATATATGGGGGTATTTATATTTACTATATTTATTTAATCTCTGAACAAGTTATTATTTTCTAAAGTATATAGAGTCAGACATATTGCGATAAGGTAGTATGTCGAAAAGGAAACAGCCTAAACTATTAAATGAAGGTCCCTTATTAAGAACTAAGTGAATATAATCCTTGATATCTGATTAGACAATTAGTCAGTGGGTTTGACAATAATCATCTGTTAATGAACATGTAACAATACACTAATAGAATATCTATATTGAGGAATTAATAATCGGGTCTAAGTTCTTAACCGAATTATAGATGTATATATATATAAAATAAAATATAAAATATACATAGTAACAGACTACATAATATAATAATAATTATGAAGAATATGCTGACTTGAGTAACGATAGATAATATAAGATTATCATTACTAAATACATAAGGTTTTAATATAAATTAACGGTGTCTAAATTTATATAAGAAGTTATATATATGATGACAAATAAAACAAGAAATAATAATAACCGTACTGTAAACCGACACAGGTATGTATAAATTATATATAGAATATAATATAAACTATATATAGTATCTTTCTACGTTTCCTTTAATAAGGTACGTAATTAATTAGATTAGTAATAATGAATTAACTATGCTTAATGAACTCGGCAAATAATAGTACGACTGTTTACCAAAAACATAGCTTATTGCAGATACGAGAGTATTAGTATAATAAGTGATATCTGTCCACTGTTAGTTAGATAATAAATAATGAGCTAATAAATGACGGTCTTATCATGAGGATCTGATAGTAGCAAAATTCATTGGCATATAATTGGTGTCCTGCATGAATGATAACACGATACTATAGCTGTATCAAGCATAGGTTCAGTGAAATAGTAATCGCAGTGAAGATACTGTGTGACCATAGATTGACAAAAAGACCCTATGCAGCTTTACTATAACTTTATATTGATAATAATATTGATTAATAAGTATATATTATATTAATAAATATAATAGCTTAACTATTAATAGATTATCTAATTCATAGAATAATAATATATATATAAACACTTTTTATAATAAAGAGTAAGATATATATATATTTCAGTGCTCCTTCGTTCCAGAAGGAGAAGAAGACATTATAAAGTGGTTAGTTTCGATGGGGCGTCGACATCATAGAATACAACTGATGTGTCTAAATGATACTTTATAAACCTTTTAATTATTAGTTTATAATTAGTTTATAATTTCTACGCTCCCCCTCCTTCGGAGGGGGGCAAGAATCTAATTATATAATTAGAAGTTAATTTCTTAAAATATAAGAATATAATAGAATGACCATGTACAGTAATACTAGCCGGCAACTAGTAAAATATTAATAATAAGGATAATAACATAACTGTGCAATGATAGTGATACCCACGAGTAGAGCTAGTACTTATGTATAGTATAATGAACAGGCAATAACTATAGAGTAGTATGTCGATAACGGATCAAAGTTACGCTAGGGATAACAGGGTAATACTGCTAGAGAGTAGATATCGTCAGCAGTGTTTGCCACCTCGATGTCGTCTAGACTTAACCTATTGGTAGCAGACGCTAATAAGGGTACGACTGTTCGTCGTTTAATAAGTTACTTGAGATGGGTTAATTACGACGTGAGTCAGTAAGGATTTTATCATCTATGGTATAATAACTTTATATAACTATATGTGTACGAGAGGATTGTATAGTATAGTCCAATGGTGTATAAATATAATATAGATTATAGTTAATAACTCTTACACTATATTAATAACTAAGACTATTAAGAATAAATACTGATCGCTTATCAAGTATGAAATCTTATATAAAGTTAATAATTAATAACATTATAGATAATAATGTAATAGTTTTATATTGAACTGTTTATTTTTTAATAATTAAATAAATAATGGTTCTATTAATATACTAATTATAACTTATGTATTAACATAACAAATCATATCATTAATTTATACTAATATTCAATATCCTAAGGATAAAACTATCTCTTTATATTGATAATAAATATTATTGATTAATATAGATTAATATTTATATATAATACGAAGGTGCTGAAATAATAACTTTACTGAAATATTATAATAAATGACATATATATATTTCAACGCTCCCCCCTTCGTTCTCCGCACCCTCCAAAGGAGGGGGCGTAAAGAAGGGGGGGCAGGATGTAGAATAACTATATTATTACTATTGCCCCCCTCCGAATCGAAGAATTCGGAGGGGAGCGCGGAAATTATTACTATAATATAACAAAAGATAATAGATAATATATTGGCTCGCCCCCCTTTGGGGGGCTAATATAAAATTATATTTATTTACAATAATGGGGACTAATATAGAATTATATTTATATATAATAATGGGAAGTAATATAGAATTATATTTATATATAATAATGGGGAGTAATATAGAATTATATTTATATATAATAATGGTGGGGTAATAGATTAATGGTAGATCTTATGCGTTGCATGCGTACAATGTCAGTTCGATTCTGACTTACTCCATACCTATAAGATATATAATATATATATAAAATGATTTGATTAGACGTACCAACACCTTGAGCAATTAGATTTCAAGATTCTGCTACACCAAATAGTGAAGGTATACATGAATTGTATGACCATATAATGTATTATTTAACATTAATATTAGGTTTAGTTTCTTATTTATTATTTGTAATAATTAAAGATTATAAAAAGAATCGTTTTGCTTATAAATATATAAGACATGGTCAAACTATAGAAATAGTATGAACTATATTCCCTGCTATAATATTATTATTAATTGCATTCCCTAGTTTTATTTTATTATATTTATGTGATGAAGTATTAACTCCTGCTATGACTATTAAAGTAATAGGTTTACAATGATACTGAAAATATGAATATTCAGATTTTGTAAGTGATACAGGTGAATCTATAGAATTTGAATCTTATGTAATACCTGATGATTTATTAGAAGAAGGTCAATTAAGATTATTAGATACTGATACTTCAATAGTTGTACCTGTTGATACACATATTAGATTTGTAGTTACAGCTAATGATGTAATTCATTGTTTCACTATACCTTCTTTAGGTATTAAAGTAGATGCTACTCCTGGTAGATTAAACCAAGTTAGTGCCTTAATACAACGTACTGGAGTATTCTATGGTCAATGTAGTGAATTATGTGGTGTTAATCACGGTATGATGCCTATTAAATTAGAATGTGTTTCTATCTCTGATTTTATTGAATGATTATCTGAAGCTTCTGAATAAATATATATATTCATTAATATACCCTCTCTCTAGAGATAACTTAATTATATTAACTGATTTATATATCATATAACTATATTCTTTATACTATATACTAATTATTAAATTAATTACTAATGTACTTATACTATTGCCCCCTCCGAATCGAATGATTCGGAGGGATAGGCGGAAATAATAATACTATATACTAATATATTTCAGCCAATATATCCTTTTGGAACTAGAACTGAATGAGGAGGCATTAATATTAATTATTATTAGATATCTATTGTATGATAACCCTTATAACTAGCTAGCTAAATATATACCACTTTATATATTAAAACTGATAATATATTATTAAACACTATGTTGAAATAGGAAATATAACTATTATAGTCTATTTCTCTTATTAATAAATATTTGTCTACTTATACTTAATTATTTATGTATATCTACATTGATATAATGTCCTGTTATATTAAATCATATAGTTAGATCTTATATATCTTCTTAATAAATACTTGATATAGTATATGTTTACTCTTATTATTAATTTAAATGTTTATTGGAATTGACAAGATTACTTATAAATATAGTATTTTAAACATTACTATTAGAATAACTTTTATAATATATATATATAGATTAAAACAATCTATAAGTCTATTTATTTAGATAAACTCGCCCTTCTTTACGCCCCCTCCTTTTTACAAAGGAGGGGGACGCATAAACAAAAGAAGAGGGAAGCATGGAACTATTAAAGTTAACATATAAAGGAATAGAATTAATATAATACATATTATTAATATAATATAGATATTGTATATAATACATAATATAGATAATTAACATACTACAGAGAATTAATATGTATAACTATATAGATTAGATTATGCACCCCTCCGAATCAATTCGGAGGGGTGCTATCGCCGGAAAGATAATGTAGCTTATATCATCTTTACATTTCTATAAAATTATAGACTATTTAATACTATGTAAAGTATCTATTGTATAAGTCAGCGTCATATATGATTCTTATATGTTATCTAAAGATATATTGTAATATAATAACTAATACTCCCTCTTCTTTACGCCCCCTCCTTTGGAAAAAGGAGAACTAAATGCTGAAAGAAACACTGAAATAATATATGGGTAATAGATTAAAGTAATTTTCCTTCGATTCGGAGGAGGCATAATTATACTATATTTTAGTATTTAAATAATAATATAATATTAGCCCCCCCCCAAAGGGGGGCGAGCCAATATATTGTCCATTTATAAGTTTCCACCAATTGATAGCGAAATTAATTTTATTCCGCATACTGAAATAAGAAGTATTAAGTTCAAATAGGTTACTTAATCTACATAGTATGATATAATATGATATTATGAATAATAACAAATAGGTATTTATTAACGTATATTGTCATCTACTCATTAAGTATATTTAATATATACACAATTTAACTCTTTCCGCCTATCCCTCCGAATCATTCGATTCGGAGGGGGGCATAATGTATTTAACATATCTAATAGCATGTATTTTAACCTTAATGTATTTAATATGTCTATATAAGATATATATCCAGTATATTTAAAGAACCACATAATACACAATCCTTATTAAAGTCATTATTAACTGTTAATTGTTTATTTCCGCCAAACGATAGTTCCCCTCCGAATTGATATTGATATATATTCGGAGGGGGCAAGAAGATATAATGTTTTCAATATTTCATCCGATAGCTCCCCTCCGAATTGATTCGGAGGGGGCATTGTCGATATATTAGCTCTAGATATATAAAATTGTATATTGAATTAGTATAAAAGGCAGTTAATAGTTTATAAATCTTTATTTCAAAGTTATTTTTGTAATTGAAACCAAAAGGCAAGAATGTAGCATTACAAGAAGTTCATTACAAGATGTCAGATAACTATTATAATACTAGAATAATAACCAGTCAGTAAAGGAATAATCATTGTTATTATTATTTATATATAGTTATAGTATAATGCCTTATATTAACTATATTTATTTTATGTTATCACATTGAAATAATCTATAAATAGCTAAATATTACTAAGTATATTATGATGAACATAATTGTTATAATTACCAATTAGATATAATATCATTAATATATTTATAATATATAATCTCTTTCAGCCAACTGATAGCTCCCCCCCCAAAGGGGGGGGTATTCCGAATTATATATGTTAAACCATTTAATATATTTGTATAAACAATAAGTTAAATCATTTAATATATTTGTATAAATAAAATGAAAAGTAACTAGTTCCTAATAATATATCTTTACTATGCTTCTAATAATATTATTTTACTATACTTTTAATAATCTATCTTTACTATTTACTATATTTCTAATACTCTATCTTTGTTATGATACTTACTATTATTTATAATAATTCATATATATTCTGATATTTACTATATTTATAATAATAATACATATATATTCTGATACTTATTATATTAATAATTATACATATGTACTCTGATATTTACTATACTTATAATTATTCTTGCCTTTTGAAAGGAGGGGAAATATCTGTTACTAACTAATAATTTTAATATATATCTGATACTTACTAATAATATATCTTTGTTATTTACTATAGTAGTTATATCTAAAGCATCTAATACTATTTATATAGTTTCTTTATATATTTTCCTCCGAATGTAATAAAGTTATAAATCATATTTAGTTATTAATTATATAAGTTATGTTAAATGTAACAATAATTAGTATTACAATATAATCAATATATCTTTCCGTCGATCGCACCCCTCCAAATTGATTCTTGATTCTTGATTCTTGATTCTTGATTCGGAGGGGTGCATACTATATAGTATAGTCTAAATGATACTTATAAATAATATATAATAACTATTTAGAAATCCTCAGTATATCCTTCCGCGCACCACTCCTTCGGAGTGGTGCGTAGTCTAGTCTATTATAGTCTAATATAATATAAATGATACATATATAATAATATAAAATAGTATAATACTGTATTCTGTATAATATAAATGATACATATATAATAATATAAAATAGTATAATACTGTATTCTGTATAATAGTGGAAAATATATATTTCAGTGCTTATTTACGCCGATCGCTCCCCTCCTTTTTACAAATTTACAAATTTACAAAGGAGGGGTGCGCATAAACAAAAGAAAGAAGGCAATAATAAGTTTTAATATAATAACAGGATTATTGAATATAATTCTTATTAATAATTAAACACTAAATACTATAAGCTTTATAATCAAGAGATTGCTTACACATTTATTAAATATCAGATATATAATTCAGTGGGATATTATATAATAATAATATTAGTAAATATACTACTTTATTGAGTATATATACCTGTATATGCCTATTAACTTTAACTACACTTGTGATTTTAAATGATATATAAAATATAATAACACTTAATAGTTAATTTAAATATATTTCAGCCGAATCATTCGATTATATTATATTTGAGTGGAGACATATGAAGTATACGATTAAAACAATTAGTAATATCTCTATTAATCTCCGCCAATCGATAGCTCCCCTCCGAATTGATTCGGAGGGGGGCAAGCAATATAGAATACGTATATCTATTAAGTTTGAATCCATTAACTAAATCTAGTTATATAATTAATTTATAATATAATATGTAAGACTTTATGTACTATTTTATCATTAAAGTTATTTTAAGTAAATATCTTTATAATATGTAAGAATATATGTATTATTATATTCAATAGGAGAATATATTTAATATATAATATAATATATCAATAAGTGAATATATTTTAAGTAGATACATTATATTTAGATATCTTTACCATCTTTTGTCCCCCTCCGAAGGATTCGGAGGGGAGCTACCTGCTGAATGCCCCCCTCCGAATCGAATGATTCGGAGGGATAGGCGGAAATAATAAAACTATATACTAATATATATAGATCAATACTTTTCCGAATCGAAGGATTCTTACGACAGTTTGTTAGTGGTTCGTATATTATTATACTAATAATAGTATTAATAATATGAATACCTATTATGGATGGATTAATGATTAACTCATTACATAAGGGTATAAACACGGGAAACCTATCCAACGAGGTAGTCTTTGAAGGTTGTGTGAAAGATACAAACTCTCAGTGTAGTATCTAGTATCCTAGACCTAACTTTAGTGGTGTTTTTAAGTGAATCCTTGTTTTAAAATTGGTTCAGCAATACCTATATTTTCTGAAATTTATAGTGAATTCAATAATTGTAATGGACGTAGTTGAATGCGTACGTTCAAGATCCATCAACAAGAATACCAAAATAGAGGAGAACATAAAAACTATCCAAGGCAATAGCCTGAAGACTAACATAACAAAACATGGACTTACAGTTGACATGAGAGACTGTCTGATCTCATTTACTTAAATATAAGGATACTGTTGTAAGTCTGTATGTATATTTCACTAGAAATATAGTTGTATATTACAACCTATTAATCATAAGGTTAACACTAAATATTAATAGAATACACAGGGGTAAAATAAGTGAAGAAGCAAATGTTCTGAGTAATGTCAGAAATATCATCAAATAGAATCCTAGGGATAGGAAAATATTACAATAGCCAAGAGTTGAACATATTGGACAAAAGCAGAATTCACAATGCCTTAATATGAATCAGCTAACCCTTAAATGTAGCTACTCAACGATTGAGGACGATACGAAACATTATGATGAATATTTGAAATCGGTAGCTAAAGGTTTACTTATTTGACCTGATAATAAAATCTTAGGAATAGTTAGAAAGGTAGTATTTAAACAACAAATGGAATTAGTTAATTAAGCTAACATATACGGTGTTAATTATAAAGAAGTCATGAATAAACAATTAACATATGTAAATTCATTGGCTTTTAGACTGTTTGCAGTAGATAAATTATCGAAATATAGAGGGTCTCGTACTTTTGGAATAGATAATATATATATAAAATGATTAGATAGTGATAAAGAACTATACCAATACTTAGTAGAATTATTGAAATCTACAGTTAAATACCCTAAAAATTATAAGGCTGATATTGTCAAAAGAGTTTGAATACCAAAAGCGAATGGGAAACTAAGACCTATTAGTATACCTACTCTTAGATATAGAGCACTACAACTATTAATAAACCTAGTGCTGGAACCTCTAATAGAAATGACAAGTGATCCACACAGTTTTGGTTTTAGACCATATCGTTCTTCTATAGAATGCTATAACTTATCTTAGAACTCATCTTAATACTATTGATGAAACAAAAATATTGAAAAATACTTCTAGTAATAATCTGATGAATAACTTATCTCGACTACTACCAGAAAACAAATGGATATTGGATACCGATATTAAAGGTTTCTTTGATAACCTTAATCATACATGATTGATTGATAACTTATTTATACATTCAAAATTATTAATATTCGTAAAAGCATGAATTTCAAGTGGTGTTTTATTAGCTAACTTTACTTTTAATGGATTGGAGAAGGTTATAATGGAAGCGTTATTTCCTTTAACAAAAAGTAAAAAATTACAGTTAAACTTAAAGATGGTTCACGTACACGTGTAAGCTCAGCACTTGCATATGTTAGATATGACGATGATTTTGTTGTTATAGCAAGATCAAAACATATAATGGTGAACTATATTAAACCAGATATAATTCGATAATTTATTAGCCGATAGAGGCTTAACTCTTAACAATGAAAAAACTAAAATGTTTAGACTCAAAGATAAGGGAAGTCAATTAGATTTCATAGGTTATACTCTGAAATATCAAGATAAATGAAGTATTAAAAGACATGTCTTTTATACTGACCATGCCGGAAGTAGAGGTATAGCATTATACCCTAATAAAGATAAGGTTAAAACATTCATTGATAAAATAAGGGAGATATTTAAGAAATCTATGAATTTATACTCATATAATCTAATTGCTAGATTAAATTCTATTTTTATAGGATGATCTAACTACTATAACATGGGTAACTCCTCTCATTATAGAGACACTGTTCGTAATGCTATATATCATATAGTATGAAAATGAGCTAAAAGAAAACATAGAAAATGAGGTAGAATTAAGATCGCTAGTTACTACTTCCTAACCCCTAAGGTCTTGGGTACAAAAAGATACAATACTCAGTATTTCAAAGTAATAAATGTAAAATGAGTTTTCCATGGAAAAACAAATTCCAAATCTAGATATATTGACAATTCAAAAACAATATATTTAGTAGACGTAGGAAATGCATCACAACTACTTACATTTAGAAAATACGTGATACTTAGAAATATTATAGGTATTCATGCATATCACAAAGATTACATGAAGATTATTGAATTCAATACAAATGTTAATTTCAAAGCCTTAGGTAAATCAGCTCCTTTCAAACAACGTCTAATAGTCAAACAAAATAACATATGTCCTCATTGCAAGGGCACACTAATGGAATCCTCTATAGGTTGAAATAAGGCTTTACACATTCATCATATCAACCTTATAGCCAAAGGTGGTGCTCGTAATAAAATTGATAATTTAGTTTTAATACATTCATGATGTCATAAAGATCAACACCGTAGGAATGGAAGCCACAAGTAAATAAAAAGGGTATAAGGAAATACCTAAATAAAAATTCACTTGTGATATTAGGGTGACCCGTATGTAGGGTGATCTACACGTACGGTTCTTTGAGGTTGAGGTGACTCAACTTTCCATCTCTAGTGGAGGGGAAGCGCGGAAATAATAAAGATAAATACTATCTGTATATAGATCAATACTAATTATAAAGCTAGATACTAATCTCTTTATATCTATACTATTGCCCCCCTCCGAATCGAAGAATTCGGAGGGGAGCTACCTGCGGAAATTATAAAATTATAAACTAATCTATGTATATCAATACTAAATATAAAGTTCTATACTAATATATTAAGTCAATAATGTAATGTAATATAATGTAATATAATGTAATATAATGTAATGTAATGTATATAAATATATTTGCCTTACTGAAATAAATAATATTACACAGTCAACTAATAATCAATACTAATTTCAATTAGGAGTGACATATTAACTATAGCCCCACCTTTTTCCAAATTTCCAAATTTACAAAGGAGGGGTGCGCATAAACGAAGGGGGAGCTATCGGCGGAATGATATATATTAGTCTTATTTATATAATTGGCTCTAACTATATAATAACTATATTAAAATATAACTATATATCGAAATATAGATCTCAATAGCAGTATACATAGTTATGTGTAAGATTAAATATAAACTATCAGTAGTAATATAAATTCAATCCCCCTCCGAAGGAGGGGGGCGATAAGTAATATCTGAATATACTATTAAGTAATAGAAAATAAGATAATATATGTATATACTATTAAGTAATAGAAGATAAGATAATATATGTATATATTGTTATGTAATAGGAGATAGATATAAATAATAATGAATAAATTAATTATTAAATTATACAGCGTATAATAAAAGGAAAGAGATCATTAAACAGAATAAACCACAAGCTTCACTTAAAGCAAATCCTAAAATAGCTTGAGGGAATAATGTGCTTCTTAATGAAGGGTTACGTGATGTACCATTAATTAAAGCTACGAATACTAAAGCAATACCTATGGCTGCTCCTCCTAATCCTAATGTAGCTATACTAGCTCCTATGTATTTTGCTGCTAATGCTAATTGCATGTCTTATTTATTATTGGTCTTCTATACTATATATTAGCCTAATAAGAATCGAACTTATATTTACCGATTATCAATCAGTCTCTTTACCGTTAAGATATAAGCTATCTCACCCCCCCCTTCGTTTCTGCGCACCCCTCCAAAGGAGGGGGGCGTAAAGAAGGGGGGGAGCGTTGAATTATGATATTACTATTATTCTACATATAAACTATTATTATATATATAAACTATTATAGAATTTATATTATTATACACATAAACTATTATAGTATTTATATTATAATATACATAAGATATGACAAATTATTATATTTCCGCCTATCCCTCCGAATCATTCGATTCGGAGGGGGCAATAGTGTAAATATACAGAGTATATAAATACGTATATAAATATATGTCCCCTCCCTTTGGGAGGGAGCTATCGATCGATGGAAATATTCCTTTGATTATTGATGGAAATATATGTAATATATATCTTTTTATGTCTTCCTCTGAATCGAAATTGAAATTGAAATTGAAATTGAAATTGAAAGGCTTCGGAGTGATATACGAAAATATGTATATATATGTATGTATGAATATATAATCTTATTATAAATCCCGAGCAAGTTCCCTTACTCGAACTGTATTTCAACTTATAGCATATCATAGACAACATATATAGTTTATCTATAAAGGTCTTATCTATGCTATTGATGAGTGATTAGTGCGAAATATATGTATAATTCACCATAGCTCTCTATGTCTATGATTACTAGCAATTCCTTTTTCATATTAACAAATTGCAGTTAATAATCCAATTATATAGAATGTTAATCTTAATAATTTATATTAATATATAGTTATTTATATAACTTATAATTAAGTAAATAATTGTAGTACACCTGTAGCCCTATTTATATGGGTCATCATGATTAGTCTTAAGCCTCTACTTCCTATCTTTTATCAAAGATACTGATTCACTTTATTATATTAGTGAAAGAGGTTAACGTTCATTAAATAACTTAATAATATACCATAAAGCATGAACTGACGACAACGATGTAACGCCTGTAATATATATATATAAAAATATAAATATTATTCAAAAATAGGTAAGGTTTAAGGGGTATCATCCAATTAAACAGTATACTCCACTGCCTTTATATATAACCGTCTAATGTCTTGCATTTTATTCGTGAAAACGTACTAGTCTGGCGGCATACTTTACACCTTCGTATTTCTATATAGTATGCATAGTTCACGGCTATAACTACATGGGTATCGAATCCATATCGCTACTATAGCTTTCACCTCTCAATGTCAATATATTATTAATATATATTATGCAGTAGTACTGTTGTTATCGTATTTTATCTCTATAACAGTAGTACTTTATATCTATAATATATTCTAGCTCTTATATAAGCAATCTACAGGTTCTTTAGGCCAAGGTAGATTAATGCTCGCTCTTGATGTCTCACCGCAACTGCTGGCACATACATTGGTTAGAACTTACCTTTATAATCTATCATTATTAAATTATAAGGTGAAATATACCTAATATTAATGTTAAATTTACACTCTAAACTTATAAATAAGAAAATAGTGTAGCTATATATATATATATATATTTATAGTATAAAACTATATTTATATACAAATTATATAATTTAAGATTAGTTATAATAACTTATTATATTTCTTATAGATAACATGATCAACCTTACGGTCATTGTCAATGATTCCTCACTGCTGCTACTAATAGTAGTATGCTAATTAGCATATGTGATCGTTATGACTTCCATCATCAATTATAGTTCTTAGGCTAGTATATTAGGTTACACTATTACCTTAATCTAATTTAGATATCTCTATCTATTTTTACTCACCTGTACACAGAATATTATTCTATTTGCATGTGTTATGTCTCTATATAGCATTTTATCTGAATCAACATCATATTCATTATGATTGAATGGGTATTAATGTTGAATTACTCAGAATTGAACTGAGATCAATCCATTATGAGTGGAGCGCTCTACCATTGAGCTATAATTCAGTTATTAATATATTCTTATATTCCTATTTGCAATAGATAGAGTCGAACTATCATTATAAAAACATGAGTCTTAGGTGTTTCCTATTACACTATATTGCTTAATTATATTAATATTTCTGCGCACCCCTCCTTTGGAGGGGGGCGAATACTTACAAATACAGTATATTATTTAATTATATATATATACTTTCAAAGTACAGATATATATTATGTATATAGAATATATATAATAATTTAGGTATTGATCATATCATATTTATTATACCATTTGGATATATACCGTATCATATAGTTGGTATTATTAATGATATTAATAAGAATTGTTCTCTATATGTACAATCACTAGTTAAAGATACATAAGGTGTTTTAATACCTCCAGTTAATCTATTAGTTAATTTTAACATATATGAAGCTGATAATAATACTGATATTAAACATATACTACCTAATAAAGGTACTCTATTAATTGCACCTGATAATGATAATAATTCACCTATAAAGTTAACACTTAAAGGAGTTCCTACATTACAAAAACTTAATAATATTAAATATATAGATAATATTGGCATATAATTTAATAAACCTTGATAATAATATACAAGACGATTATGATATCTATCATATAGTATACCTCCTACAATAATAAATAAAGCAGGTGAAACAAAACCATGAGCTATACAAAGTATTAAACTTCCATTAATTCCTATAACTGTATTAGACATTATACCTAATATACATACAGCCATATGTGAAATAGAACTATAGGCAATTATAACTTTTAAATCAGTTTGTCTTAATGTAATTATACTAGTATATATTATAGTTATTAAACATATCATATAGACTATTGGAGTATATAATACTACAGCATCTGATAAAGTAGGTAATAATAAACGTATTATAGCATATACAGCTAATTTAAGTATAACACCAGCCAATAGCATTGAACCAGCTAAAGGACTTTCTGAATGAACTACTGGTAATCATGTATGTACTGGTACTAATGGTGTTTTTACCATAATACCTATAGAAATAGCAATAAATAATATAGATTGTAAATCAATAGATAATAAAACTAAACTAACAGCTTGATAATCAGTATTACCTAATAAAACTTCATATAAAGCTATAGCTACTAACATAAATAATGAAGATAATAAAGTATATATTAAAATATAATCAGCAGCTTTTTCTCTATTACTAGCACCATATAAACCAATTAATATAAATAAAGGAGCTAAAGAAGCTTCAAAATAAATATAGAAAGATAACATATCTTGACACATAAAATTAATTAATAATATAATACCTAAATTAAGTATTAATTCATAGTATAATTTAACATTAATACTATTTCAATTTGATATAATAGATAATGGTAATAAATATGCAGTTAATAATATAAATATGTCAGCTATACCATCAGATGTATAATAAATATCTAATTCAGCTCAATCATAAATCGTAGGTAATACAATTAATATACTCGATATTAATATAATCCCTTTACTATTATTAAATAATCTACTAAATATTGAAGTAGTAGCTGAAATAATAAAATAAATTAAAGTCATAAAATATAAATATAAAATATAATAAAATATATAATATATGATCAATGGGATTTGAACCCATAAAAAATTAGTCCTAAGCTAATCGCGTATACCATTTCGCCATGATCATTAAATAACTAATGCCTTTATAAAATACTGCTGCCCCCCTCCTTTGGAGGGGGAGCGAGGGATAATAACTAACTTTATAACATCTAATATAAATATATTAAACATTCATTAACTAACTAATTAACTAATTAATTATAATATTAATATCTAATATAACTTTAATACATCTAATATAACTTAACACTTAAATATAACTTCCGCCCTCCCCTCCGAAGGAGGGGAGGAATAATATAACTTAACACTTTTAATATTAATATAATTTAATATAATAGATTTAAATATAATTTCCAAAAAGCAATAATATAGTTAATATTAATTAAATATTCATTAACTTCCGGAATGTCCCCCTCCTTCTGGTTAGTAACTGAAAGGCTTCTATTCGGAGGGGAGCTACCTGTTGAAATATATAAGTTTAATACTAGTATTACGGATGCAACGTGATTCGAACACGTGGGTAATTACCTTGATAGCTCAAATATCACACCTTAAACCTCTCAGTCATACATCCTTATAATTAATAACAGTTAAGTCTCCTATAAATATAATCTACAATAATATATATGGATATTGATTTATAAATGCTGAATGCCCCCCCCCGAAGGGGGGGGAGCACTGAAATATATCATAATATATATATATAATCTTATTGAATTTAATATTCGCCCCCCTCCTTTTTCCAAAAATAAATAAACTAATAAGTATTTACTATTCATTGACTAATATATTTATTAGAATTAGTGTATATTACGTATATTACATAATAACAAGTCTGACTGCCCCCCCTTCGTAAAGAAGGGGGGGGGGAGCACTGAAATATTAATGCATAAATAATACAAATTATACTATCTAATAGTTCTACTACTACTACTTGAAATACAAATTATACAATATATGTCCCCCCTTTGGGCTACCTGCTGAATGCCCCCCTCCGAATCGAAGGATTCGGAGCGCGGAAATATTAATACTAATTATCTAATAGTTATACTACTACTTAAATGTATTTTATTATACTATCTAATATATTATACTACTATTACTACTAATACTTGATATTAATTATATCCTGCGGAAATCTATCTATTTATATCCCCTTCTTTACGCCCCCCTCCTTTGGAGGGGTGCGCAGAAACGAAATATATCTTTTGATATAATATATAAAATATATACTATGATTAGTACCAGTGGTAAATAATAATAATATAAAATCTATACTATGATTAGTACCAATGATAAATGACAAATATGTTAACTGAAGATTAAAGTGAATATGTAATAATCTATAATTTTTATACATATTGAAATATAAATATAATATATATTCTTGCCTTTGGAGTGCGGAAATATAATAGTTTATAAACTTTATAATACCTTCAATAACTAGAGAGTTAATTTAAATATATAATTTTTAATTCCAGAAATAAGTGAATAATAGACTAATATCAAATGTTTACCTAATAAACTGTATCAATAATATTAATATCTTGTCCACTTTTCTATATATTGTGTTATTTGAATAATACATTTATGTAATTCTTTTATACCTACTTATTGCTTTCATTTAATAATTTCAGTGCTCCCCCCCCTTCGGGGGGGGGGCATTTTCAATTAAAAGGAAAATAAGTAATTTAATTAATTAAAATAATAATAATAATAATAATGTATCTTAAGTATAGATTTATTCTTACGGAAAATATATAAGATCTACAAATATATAATTAATCTAGTTATATCGAACAATTCATTATACGGAAAACTGAAAGATTATAAAATATCTGTATATAATTTATATAGATTTATTCTTTCTGCGCACCCCTCCTTTTTCCAAAGGAGGGGTGCGAATACCAAATATTAATAATATAATATATATATATAAATGTACATATATACATACTTTAATAAAATAATAATAATATTATCTAATATTATAAAAGAATTGAAATTATCACCATTGATAGTAATTAACTATTTACGAACATTCAAATATACTAACTATAATATATATGTCCCCCTCCTTCTGAAATAATAATCAAGTAATATATCATCAGATAGATAAGATCAAGTAATAATATTATGTCTTTCCTCAATAACTGCATATGTGAAATTAATTAAAAGAGATAATAATATGTATTTAATTTTATAAATACAGTCTACTTTATAATGTCTTTATAAAGGTTTGAAATAACAATAATTATACTACTTTATATATATTTTATATTACGAGCGGAGGAAAGTAATAAACTATTAATTTACGTTAATTAATTATATTCAATATCTTATATTAATCTTAATTTTAGTCTATTTTTGTATAATAAAATATAATTTAATCTATATACAGTATAAGGATATATTAATTTAGTAATAAACATTATTATCATAGTCTTCTGTATATTTAATAGTCCTTTATTAATATGCTAAATTAGTTCTGCGGCAAGAATATAATTTAGATAAGTTCTATAAACGTGAAAACTAATTATTAATAATATTATCTACTAGACTAACCTATCAAAACTATTATAATAATCTAAATACCATAATATGTATTTGTGATATCTATACTATTATAATTAATACCATAATATGTATTTGTGATATCTAAATATTAGTTAAATATAATTATATATTGAATAGTAAGTATTCGCCCCCCTCCAAAGGAGGGGTGCGCAGAAATAATAATATATATCAATATAGTTTATATATCAAATGGTTTATTTGAAAACTAAATATATTTATGAAATACTAGTTAAATAGTTATATAATTTTATATAATAAAATAAGGATAATAACTTTACTATACTATACTATACTTTACTTTCTAATATTCCACTCTTCCCCGCTGCTTAAGCAGCGGGGTGGTTACTTAATATTTCAGCAGATAGCTCCGACTCCGACTCCAAATGAGCATAAAAATATAAAGAATGTCTAACTATAGAAAGATCTTATATAATAAAAAACTATAAATCTTAATAGTTAGTATATATAAACAGAGATAAATATAATAATAAATAAATATTGATAATTATAGATAAATCTATATATAAATCTATATATAAACATTAATAAGCATAAATAAGTATAAATAAGCATTGATAAACATTTCAGTATGCCCCCCTTTGGGGGGAGCTATCGATCGGTGGAAATATAGTAAACATATATTAGTATTGTTATACCTATTTCTGAACTTTGGAGGAGTGCGAATATCAAATATATAAAATACACAATAAATAATATTAACTTTCGTAAAAGATATAAAGTTATAAATAAGTGTTAATAATTAAAATATAATTAATATGTATAACAAATACATAGTATTACTTAAAATAAATAATATTCCCCTCTTCTTTTGAATGCCTTCGGAATGCCCCCCTCCTTCTGGAACTGGAACTGGTTAGGAACTGAAGGATTCGGAGCTACCTGCGGAAATAAGTTTAAATAAAAAGTATAGATAATCTATATTACGCACCCCTCCGAAGGAGGGGTGCACGGTAAGATATACAATAATATTGAGTATATATCAAATATTTGTTAAATATATCTTATATCTACAGTGAATTATATTAATCAACATATACTAATACATTGAATATAAGTATAAAACTAATTAAATAACCGTAAAAGTAAATATAAATGTAAGTATAAGTATAAATGTAAAAGTTAGTATAAACAGCTATTTATTAATAATATATAATTAAACTTTCACTATTATAACTGAAATTTATATATTGAATAAGTATACTAATAATTATTTTACCATATATATAACATTTTGTTTATCTCTATATATACTACTTTATATCGAATAAGTATTAAGTAATAAGTATTAAGTATTATTACTATATAGACTATATCTTGAATAAGGAAAAGTATTATATTTTATAGCCCCCTCCGAAGGAGGGGGAGCGCGGAATAAACTACACATTGAATAAATAGAAGTAATATATCTATATGTTCTTATATGTACATTATAATATTATAATGCCTTCTTTATAATAATACCCCTTCTTTACGCTCCTTTGGTGCGCAGAAACGAATCGAAAGAAGGGAGCTATCGATTGGTTGAAATCATTGAGTTATATATCAAAAGGTTTATTATGCTGAAATTAATAGATGAATTAATGTTTATAATCAGACTACAATTTATGTGTTTTATAAAGTATATTATAATATAGACTAATATAGTAGTATATAGCTAGTTATATATATATATCTGTATAAATAAGTATTGAATGCCCCCCCTTCGGGGGGGAGCTACCTACTGAATGCCCCCCTCCGAATCGAAGGATTCGGAGCGCGGAAATAATATAATTAGTTATAGTTTAATTAAAGTCATTGGATAGAATATAATTAAGATTATCTATTTCTGCGCACCCCTCCTTTGTAAAAAGGAGGGGGGCGAATATTAATTTCAATAAGCAATATATTAATAGAATTACTAATAAATACTATAAAGTATAACGTATGTATTATTATTATACTTTAAAAGTTAAATTAAGATATCTATATATAGATTAGTGGTTAAATATTAAATTAGTTAAATATATATAAAGATTAAAATAACAGATTTAAATTAAATAACTAAATGCCCACTTATCTAGAAGCACTGAATGCCCCCCCTTCGGGGGGGATGCTGAAATAATATACTTCTTATATAATTTATACGCACCCTTCCAAAGATTAAATAAAAGATTATATATCAAATATATGATTATATAGTCGATATAATATGATTAACAACATATTACAATATAGATATAAATGTAAAAATATGAATAGACAATATATAATATATAGTGTTATAACTATATTAATAGGGCTGAAATTAATTATAGTTTATTATTATTATTAGATAATGCCCCACCCCTTCATTCTGAAGGGGTGGAGTACTGAAATAGAATGTACGATTAACTAGTTATATTCTATTTACTTTTTAGTTGTTATTATTAATTATGTTTAATAAGTATATTCGAAGGATAGTTTTTATTATAATAACTTTTAAGTTTTATTTATTCATAATGTCTAATAAATCTATATTCACCCTTCTTCGAAGGGAAGTTATTAGGTAATATACGCACCCCCTCCAAAGGAGGGGGTGAACGTAATTATATATCTATTTTTATAATTTATTATTATGACCCCACACTCTAAATATTCATAAATAATTTATAGTTAAAATAACATTACATTATATTATTATACCTAAAAGCTATATTATATACTGAATATTAAACTATGTAATAATACATATAGTAAGAAGCTATTAGATATATGTTATATAGTAGTATACAGAAATATAATTAATAAGATTAATAGACTATCTTTTTATTATTACGCACTCCTGCTTCGGAGCTACCTACTGAAATATTATTATTGACTGTATTAATAGAATATAATAGAATAGAATACGGAAATAATATATAATTGATATAATTGATATAAGGGCCTCAATTGCATCATAATTATCAATAAGATGAAATAACTTTATGCGCTCCCTTCCAAAGGAAGGGAGTGTAATTAAAAAGATAAGATTATAATTATATAAGTGTGTATAATAGAATATATTATACCTTTTATATTAATCCAATAGTGAACTTAATCTATATTTAAGATAATATATTTCTGCGCACCCCTCCAAAGGAGGGGGGCGAATATTTATTTAATCAGTAATATAAATCAATAAACATTCTATGAAGTAGCTATAAAGATTTATGTCAATTGATTATTCTAATAATATGATATATACATTCTATAAAAGTAACTATAAATATATATGTAAATTGATTATTCTAATTCTCTAATCTATTTATGAAAGTAGCTTTGATTATTACTGACTTATTATAACTAATTCAGTGATTATATAGAAGGGAGGCTACTGGTTAATAAGATAACTCCCTTTAGATAACTCCCCCCCGAAGGGGGGGCATTCATAATTTAATTATTTACTAGTTTATATTAGCTAATATTTTATCGATATATAAATCTTATTTCGGCAATAATATAATCTATTTTTGCATTCGGAGTACGAAAATATTAATATACAATTGATAACTAATAATATAATCTCTATATATTAATTTATACAATTGATAACTAATAATATAATCTCTTTTTGTCTTCGGAGAACTAAATATCTCTGCTTCCACAATAGCTGCAAGCTATTAGGGGTTAATCTATTAAACTTTATTGCCCCCTCCTTCGGAGGGGGAGTACGGATATTATAATATTGCCAATGTATATCAACTATATTATGGCTTTTTGATTATTCTTAATATAACTTACATATATGTTAATATAGAAATATATTAATTATAATAATAACTACATAATGTTAATATAAAACTGTATTAATTACAATAATAACTATAAAATGTTAATATAGAACTGTATTAATAGAATTTAAATACAAATTGTTAATATATAACAGTATAAATAGAATTTAACTACATAATTTACATATATAACAGTATTAATTGAATCTAATTACATAATGTAAATATATAAATATATAAATTACAATAATAACTACATAATGTAAATATATAAATATATAAATTACAATAATAACTACAGAATGTAAATATATAACTGTATTAATAGAATATTTCCGCCGATCGCCCCCCTCCGAATTGATTCGGAGGGGTGCGTAATATAATAGAATATAATAGAATATAATATAATAGAATATAATATAATAGAGATATATAAATCCTCCCTAATAGCTACTTATACTACAATTGGTGGGAAAGTATAAATAGTTCTAACATAACTATAATATAATAGATAATATAATACATAATATATATGCACTCCCCCCCCCCTTCTTTACGCCCCCCTCCTTTGGAGGGGTGCGCAGAAACGAAGGGGGGGGAAGCTATAGACTGAAAGAATAATCTATTAGAATATTAATTAAGATACTAAAATCAATATAGAATATGAATTAAGATACTAAAATCAATATAGAATATAGAATATATAATATAGAATATAGAATATTTCCGCCGATCGCTCCCCTCCTTCGGAGGGGAGGCAAGAGTATAGAATATGAATTAAGATACTAAAATCAATATAGAATATATATCCGAAGGTAAGAATATAGAAAACAAATAGTAAACTTTAATAATCAATATAAAATTAAATAATTAATTAATTAAAAAGATTATTAAGTAATAATATACAAATATATTAATAATAGATATCAAACAAGATAGAATTAATATTAAAATAATAGATATCAAACAAGATATGATTAATATTAGTTATATTTTCACTGATAAAGAATAGTATAGTTAATATATAACTTATTATTAATAAATTTCCGCCGATAGCTCCCCTCCTTCGGAGGGGGGCAATTAGAATAATATAATTATATATAGTATATATAAGATATTGAATATTTTATTTATTTATTTATATTATATAATATAGAAATAGGGCCATCATCTACAAATTCTCTATTTAATTGTAAAGCTTTTAATTGTATTTCAACTATAAAAGCGACAACTAATAAGAATAAGAATATAATTAATATAATTAAACCATAAAGGCCATTATTATAAGGACTAATTACATAAGGTAATATAGAAGATATTTCTAAATCAAAAGGTAAGAATAATATAGCGACCAATATAAAAGCAACACTAAATGCTGATCTAGATTGTTGATAAGAAGTAAATCCACATTCAAAAGGACCACTTTTTTCAATATATGAATTACTAGTAGCTAATAATCAGTTTAATCCTACTAATGCTATAGCTACTATTGGACTTAATATCATGTATGCTGTAAACATTATACTATCGATATACTTAACACTTCTAATATATTAGATAAATATGTATAATATAATATAAATATAACTACTAATGTACTTATTGTTAAACTTAAAGTTCTATTAATAGGCTTATTTATTGAAAGATTATAATTAGATGCTAATTGTTTAATAATAAATGCATAATAATATGTAGCTATAACACTAAATATTACTATAGATAAAGCTTCAATAGTATAATTATATTTAATTAAACTTTGTATTACATAATATTTACCATAAAATCCTGGTAATGGTGGTATTCCTATTAATGATAAAAAACATAATATTAATACTGTTACTAATAACTTATTAGGTATTATTAATTGATTAACTCGTAATATTGGTGATCATATATTTGATGGTGTAATTACAAACTTATTTATAGCTAATAAACTTATAAATATTAATATATGTGTCATTAAATATTGTATTAAATATACATAAAAAGATATATCTTGTAAACATGCAGGTATTAATAAATAACCAAAATTTAATATACCACTATAAGCTAATATAGTTTTTATATTAATTTGAAATAATGGTTTATAAGCAGCTACAGCTATTGATGCATAAAATACTAATATTATTATATCTGTATGAATTAAATTAGAATTAGTATATATTCATGATAATATAGATAATTTAGCTACTATTGAGATATAAGCAGTTATATATGTAGGAGCATAATTATATACAGCTATACTTCAAGAATGTAATGGAGCTAAACCCATTTTAAATACTAAAGCTAATATTAAGATATCTATAGCATTATAGAAATTATTATTATAATTATGTATTAAATAATAGTTAGAAATATCAGTAATATTACAACTACCTACATTATTATATACAAAATAAGTAGCAAGAAGAATACCGATACTAGCGATACCACCTGTAACGAAGTATAGCATACTACCTCTAGTACTATTATATGATTTACTATGTATTCCAGTTATAATATATAAAGAATAACTTTGTAATTCAATAATTATATAAAGTAATAATAAATCATTAACCATAGGGAATAATAATAAACCTATTAAATTTATATAAACTAATGTATATATTCATTTAGAATCTAATGTATATCTTTGTTTAACAGTAGTATAAATTAATAATATTAATACTAATATTATTTGTAAATAAACAAGAGGAATATTAGTATCATTTAATTTAAATCAATCATTATATAAAGTAAATTGACTATATCTTAAATCTATACAATTATATGTAAGATAAAGGACATATAGTAGTCCTATAGAAGCTAATCTATTTAAATGAAAGTTGACAGCCTTATTAGAAGCTATAAATACTAATAGAATTATACTAAATACTAAAAGCATAAGACATAATAGGAATCGAACCTATATAACATTATCCGTAGTAATGTGTATTACCTTTATACTATATGTCTAGTAGATTATTGAATAAAATATATATATGCCACCCCCCCCCTTCTTTAGAAGGGGGGGGGAGCGCGGAATAATAGTAATTAACTTATCTTTATAAGATTTAGTATATATAATTAACTTATCTCTATTTTATTTGAATTAATATATATAATTAACTTATCTCTACTTTACTTGAATTAGTATATAATTAACTTCTTTCTATTTGAAAAGTATATTTGAAAAGAGTATTTATATATAATTAACTTATATCTATTTGAATTTATATTAGTAAAGACTAATATTATATATATCTTAGTTAAGACTAGTATTATCTTTGTATTAGTAAAGACTAATATTCTATATATTTTATTACGCCCCCCTCCGAATCAATTCGGAGGGGTGCGATCGGCGGGAATATTCTATAAGTAAAGACTAATATTCTATCACTAATTAATTATTATGGAGATCAATATTAATGTCCCCCCCCTTCATTCTCCGCACCCTCCAAAGGAGGGGGCGTATAGAAGGGGGGGGGGAGTACGGAAATATAAACAGTTATAAATTACATTATTATCTAAATAACTAGTATATAGTATAGATAAAATACATTATTATCTAAATAACTAGTATATAGTATAGATAAAATACATTATTATTGCCCCCCTCCTTCGGAGGGGAGCGCATAAATTAATAACTAGTAAATAGTATAGACATTATTATATTAATAACTAGTATATAGTATAGACATTCTATATTACGCCCCCCTCCTTCGGAGGGGGGCGCGGAGAGATATATTATAATGTAGAAATATATACTTCAGCGCTGAAGGGGGATCATATATGATTACTTTATTTATTATAAAAATATAAATATAATCTTTCAGCGTCTTCGGAGGGGTGTGTAATTGAATATAACATAATATTATAGTTTATTAGAATATAGTATAGTAATATATCGGCCAATCAGTGAATCGAACACTGATCCTAATATAGGAATTATATAGCAAATAATTTAACTGTACCAATAAGTAAAATTGACCTTAACGTATTACATCAGATTCGAACTGACAGCTTCCTCAGTGACATTGGGGGGCTCTACCATTAAGCTAGTAATACATATTTAAATATCTTTCTACCCCCTCCTTTTGGTTCCAAAAGGAGGGGAGCTATATATATTATATGATTATTTATAATTTAGTAGTATTATTATTATTGAATAGACACGACTCGAACGTGTATAGTTTAGACCAAATCTAAATGACTTGCCAATTAGTCAACAATTCATATGTATATTTATTCAGTATATTCTCCTATAAATTCTTATATCTATTTATTTATTAACTTTTCTATTTCCACCGATAGCTCCCCCCCCCGAAGGGGGGGGGGCATTCCGTTGTAGTTATGGTCTATAACATAATATATAGTTCATATACACTTTAATACATAATCTTATATTTATATATACATTTATGTTACATTTATCTTACATTACATTTATCTTACATTACATTTATCTTATCTCAGATATAGTAATGTTTAATTCATTATAGTTATACTTATATATAAGTGCATATAATTATATTTCCGCAGGTAGCTCCGAATCCTTCCAATCGGAGGGGGGTATTCCGCATATATAGTAGAATAATAAAAGTATAGTCATATAGATAATTCAGCAGGTAGCTCCCCCCCCTTCTTTACGCCCCCTCCTTTGGAGGGTGCGGAGAACGAAGGGGGGGGCATATATAGTATAGACATATATAGTATATACATTTTCGTATAAATAGTATACTAGAATATAGTATAGTCATATAGATAGTATATACATTTTCACATATATAGTAAAGTATAGTATAGTTAATACTAAAAGCCTAATAATAAAAATATAGTCATATAGATAATTCAGCAGGTAGCTCCCCCCCGAAGGGGGGGAGCATAGATAGTATAGTTTAGTATAATATAGTTTAGTATATTTACTTATAAAAATATAATATTAAAAGTATAGTTATATATATTTATATAGTATAGTTAATAATAGTAATTCCCCCCTTCGATGCTGAAATACTAAAGTATAGTCTTATAGACTCTTCAGCAGGTAGCTCCCCCCCTTCGGGGGGGAGCATAGTATAGTTATAGTTATAGACATAGTATAGTTATCTATCGGTAGAAATAGTTAATAATAAAAGTATACTAATAAAAGTATAGTTATATAGATTATTCCACATAGAGGATATAGTTAATAATAGTTATATATATTATTCCACATAGAGAGTATAGTTAATAATAGTTATAGAACTAATAAAAGTAATAGTCATATATACATTTCCGCATATATAGTATATATATAGTTATAGTACTAATAATAGTTATGGAAATAGTTATATAGATTTATATAGTTATGTATCTGAAATAGTTAATTATGTTATTTCTCATTAAAGTATAGTTAATAATACTATAAAAGTATAGTTATATAGATTAATATATTTATTTAATAATTAAAATAAGGATTTTAATATAATAGTTTTATTATATAATTGGGGTGAAATATAAGAGTTAAAATATATATTAAGTATAATACAATATAGATATTTATTTAATTATAATAATATAGTCCCCCCCTCCTTTGGAGGGGGGAAGTGTGGAAATTAAAAGGAATATATATAATAGATTTAATATTATTCATATATTAATATAAAGTACACCTCTGCTTATACCAGTAGAACCTAAAGTACGTAATAATCCATTATCAGTATAATTATTTAATAAACCACCAATATGTAATACTTTACGTATAATTAAATTATTTAATAATTGTTCATAATATAATTTATTACGGAAATAATTATATATTTCTATTCTATATAAACTATAAGTATATTCATATATATAAACTAATAATATTGATAATGATAAACCTGCTATTAAAGGTAATAACTTAATATAAAAAGGTAATGTAAATTCTGTATCTATAAAATTATTATTTGATGGTAATGAGTATGCCATATGTCCTATAACTGAATCTCTATTATAACCTAAATATATACTGTATATAATTAATAATAACATAGGTATTATAATTTTAAAGTTCTCATGTATATATTTATAACTATTTTTATTACTATTAGGTATATTATAAAAAGTAAGATATAAAACTCTTATAGAGTAAATACTAGTAAGAGTAGCTGAAGAAACAGCTAGATAATATAGTATATATCCACTACAAGTATAAGTACCATATAAAGATTCTATTATAATATCTTTAGAGTAATAACCTGAAAGACCTGGTATAGCCATTAAAGATAATGAAGCTATTAATATAGCAGTATAACTCATAGGTAAATAGTTAATTAAACCACCATATTTACGCATATCTTGAGTTTCAGATACATAACTATGTATTATAGATCCAGCACCCATAAATAATAAAGCTTTAAAGAAAGCATGACAATATAGATGATATATAGCTAAATCATAACTACTAATACCTATAGCTAATATCATTATACTTAATTGTGACATAGTTGATAAAGCTATTACTTTTTTAATATCATTAGTTAATATAGCTATTAAACCACTAACTAAAGTAGTTATACCACCTAATCAACATATTATTAATAATATACTAGGAGAATATTCTAATATAAAGTAAGATCTAGCAAGTAAATATACACCAGCACATACCATAGTAGCAGCATGTAATAGAGCACTAACAGGAGTAGGACCTTCCATAGCAAGAAGTAATCATGAATGTAAACCTAATTGAGCACTTTTAGCTGTAGCAGCCATTAATAATAATAAACTAATTATATTTAATAAAAATGTATTAGTATACGGTGTAGATAAAGCAATAGTTTCAAAATCAATAGCATGAAAATAAGATAATAATATACCTAAAACTAACATAAAGAAGGTATCACCCATTCTATTAAGTAATATAGCTGATAAAGCAGCTTTCATAGCAGCAATACGAGTAGATCAAAAAGATATTAATAAATAAGAAATAACACCAACAAATTCTCAACCTATAAATAACATAATATAATTATCACTAATAATTAATATAGTCATAAATAATGCAAATACACTTAATATTATTAAGAATACATTACGATTAGGATCATGAGACATATATTCTATAGCATAGATTAATACAGCTATAGTTACTATACCCACAGGTATGATTACAGTCAAAGCTAAAGAATCTAAAGATAAACCATAAGGAACACATATATCACCTACATTAAATCAATTACCTAAAGTAATATAAACTGGTTCTTCTCATATATAATATATATAATTTAACATTAAATACTTTGTACTATTTTACCTCTTAATTTATAATAAGATACTAATATACTTAAACCTATAGCTGATTCAGCACCGGCTAACAATATGATTACTATACCAAATATAGTAGCATATATATCATCATATAGATTACCTATATAGATTATTTTAATAGTTACCATTAATAATAAGATTTCTATAGCTATTAATAACGTTATTAAATTATTTTTACTCATATAAAATATTAATAGTATAGATAATATAGCTATCATTTTATTATTTATTATTTTATAATTATGTACAATTATATATATTAGATAATTATATTCAATAATACAAGTCTAATAATTATATATTTGTAAACTATATCTATACTCGATAATAATATACCTATACTGGATAATAGTATACCTATACTCAATAATAGTCTAAATATTATTATTTGTAATTTATATCTATACTGGATAATAATATAAACATATCGCTCCTTTGAAGGAAATATTTGAATAAGTAATAATCTATACCTTCAATTAAAAGGTCTCTATTCAATAGTCCCCCCCCTTTGGGGGGGAGTGCTGAAATAACTAATATAGTTACAATATAATCTTGTAATCAATTTAATTAATTAAAACTATATATCCCCTTCTTTACGAATCGAATCTGGAAGGAGGGGAGCGTGAAATAGAATATCTTTGAATACAGGTTATTTATCTTTGACAAAAATTATATGTTTGACTTCAAGTTATAATAATAATTTATAGAATATTACCAATTAGATAGCCTAATTTAATAGATTTTTATACTGAAATTATTATATCCCCTCCGAATCGAATCGAATCGAATCGAATCGAATCCTTCGTAACACAGAAAGTTTAATAGTACATAATACTTATTATTTTAATAGTTTATACATTATAATATCTATAGTTTATAGATTATATATATTATATCGCCCCCTCCGAATAATTCGGAGGGGAGCTATCAATTGGGGGAAATAGATTATCTATAATGAGTGTGATTATTAATTAATTATTAACCATAATGAGATTTGAACTCATATAAAGACTACGAAGAAGTCCTATCATAACCATTAGATCATATGGTCAAATATATATTTTATTTATATATATATATTATTATTATAATATTTCATATATTTATTGCTGAAATTATTATAGAGTATATTTATTCTAATTACTTCTGGGCTCCCCTCCTTCGGAGGGGGTGCAATAATGTATTAGATAGTATATATAGAATGTCTTATATAGGAATCGAACCTATAGCCTGTCGATTACAAAACGACTGCTCCACCTAATTAAGCTAATAAGACGATATAAGGGTAACTACTGAGAATTGAACTCAGATACGTCACTCCACATACGACTATTTTACCTTTAAATTATAGCTACCTTATTTCCGCCGATCGCTCCCCTCCGAATCCTTCGATTCGGAGGGGGGCTAGAAAACTAATTCTTAACTTATTTCCCTACCTTTCAGTTAAAGTATTAATATATTTTATATATTTTATATATATATATATATGGTTGAATATTAATACATATCTTTTATGTAAGGTATTAATAATATTGAGATAGGACTGAATCGAACAGTCGTAGCTTTACGCATTATAGCTACAATATAACTCTAATTACCAACATTAGAACTATCTCTACGATTAGAAGGACTCGAACCTTCATGGCTAATGCCCTGACATCTTAAGTGTCATATGTCTACCATTTCATCATAATCGTTTATATTTATTTTATAATATAATTATTTTAAGTTTTATAGATATAATACATATTATGTATATTTTATATAATGAATAATATATATAAGTATAATATTGAATATATTTATGAACCTCATCAGTATACTATTATATAGATAAATAATCATATTACATCTAATACATGTAAATATAATATTGTAGTTTCTGCACCTACATGACTATTATCAGTAAAATCATAATCATATACTCTATAAGTACATATAATTAACATAATAGTTAGCATAATCATATGTAAACCATGTAAACCAGTTAAAGAATAGAAAGTTGAACCATATACACCATCAGATATAGTAAATCCAGCATATCTATATTCTAAGAATTGGAAACCTACAAATAAAGCTATTAATATAGTAGTATATATAAAACCATATAAAGTATTAGTTCTATTACCATTAATTAAAGCATGATGAGCATAAGTAACAGTAACCCCAGAAGCTAATAAAATAATAGTATTTAATAAAGGTAATTCAGCAGGAGAGATAACATCGATACCTAAAGGAGGTCAAGACATACCAATATCCATAGTAGGATTTAAAGCAGAATGTAAATAAGCTCAGAATAAAGAAGCAAAGATTAATATTTCACTAACTACAAATAATAAGAAACCTTGATTTAAACCTCTTTTAACAGCTATAGTATGATCACCTAAATAAGTACTTTCAGCTATAATATCTTTAAATCATAAAGTCATACTATATAATACACTTATTATACTTAATATAATAGCGATATTACTAGCGATATAACCATGAGAAGTAAGACCTAAACTTAAAGCTAAGTCCATTAAACTAAAAGCAGTGAATACAGGTCAAGGTGAAGGACCAACTAAATGGAAAGGATGTAATTGTAAATATCCTCTAACACTATTTGTCATAATATTTATTTATTTAATATATTTATATACGATATGTATTGTTTAGTAGGAAAGATAGGATTTGAACCTATGTAATTAACTTAAAAAGATAAGGTCTTAACCACTAGACGACATTCCCTAAAATAAAATATATAATATAACTTAATAATAATAATAAATTACGATGGACGTGATTCGAACACGCATTGAAGCATTGGAAGTGCTTGAGTTTACCATTAACTTACTATCGTATTTATAATCTCCTATAATAATCTAATATAATAAATAATTAATTTCCTATAGATATATTATTGCCCCCTCCGAATCAATTCGGAGGGGAGCTATCGGCTGAACTATATTAATGTACATATATATATACTATCTATAAAAGTACTATATTATTCAGCTTTATAGTATTGCCCCCCTCCTTCGGAGCTACCTACTGAAAAATATAAGTATTAGTACTCTATTTCTTTTATTATAGATAAACCTTATATTATTATGGTAATATATATGATTAAAGAGTTTATATAATTCAACAAATAAATCTATTAATATTTACAACTTACTTACTTACTTACTTATTGCCCCCTTCTTTAGGGAGCTATCTATTGGTATAGTAAGATATATATTTAATAATATAAAGGAATAAATAATAATGAATATTTTAACGATTAACACCTAGATAGAATAGTATATTTTCTAGTATAGAGATACCAGGAACTATAATTAAGTAGTATGCAAAGTAGAAAGCAGTAGCTACTTGACCTAGGAATATAAATGGAACTTCTACATGTAATTGTCCTAAGTTACCTAATAATATAAAGTTAAATATAAAAATAAAGTACATTACTTTAGATAAAACTTTAAAAGAGTTACCCCTAATAACAGATCTATCAGTATAAGGTAAAACTAATAAGATTAATAAAGCACCAAACATAGTAATAACCCCACCTAATTTATCAGGTATAGATCTAAGAATAGCATAGAAAGGTAATAGGTATCATTCAGGAACAATAGATGGAGGAGTAACCATAGAGTTAGCAGGTATATAATTATCAGGATGATTAAGAGTATTAGGTGAATAGAATACAAATAATGAGAATATAATTAAGAATACAAATACAGTTATAAGATCATTGAACTAAGCATTAATCCCTTTAAAAATAGTAATCTATTATTAGGTAGGGTTGTCAATACTCGTCACCAAACCGGACGTGATAGTTTCCCATCATCCGGCTTTCCATGTATATATTTATTCAGTCTTAGATATATATTCCTTAATATTATCAAGATTATCAATATTCTTAATTTTCTTAATATTCTGCGCTCCCCTCCGAATCCTTCGGAGGGGGGCATAATTGACAAGGAATAGTAAGATTATCAGTATGATACTTTAAGTGACAATTTATACAAAGAGGCACTTGTTTACATTTTGATTTAACTATTAAATTATCAAAAGTACCCTTGATAGGTTTAAGATCCTTCATCATATGATACATATTTACTTTATAATCACTTAAACAAACTAAACATTTAGCTTTCATAATAGTAGTTAAAGATATATTATTAGAATATAGTGCAGGTATATTAGTATTATAATTATTATTTCATAAATTTAATTTAGCCTTTGGAGTACGGAAATTATTAATAGGATTAAATAATGTAGCCAATACTTTAGGAGTATTATCATTATTACGAATATTATAATCAAATATTTGAATATTAGATCCGAATTTACTATAAACTTTAGTTCTTGTAGTTAAACTATATTTATGAGCTAAAGTACGAAGTACAACATCTTTAATAATATAGAAAATATAAGTAACTATAGTACTTCTATTATGTACAAAAGTATAATAATTTATATAACCTTTAATCACACTATTAGCTAAATATATTATTTGTTGAGGTTTTAAACTAATTCAAGATACTCTACTAATACCTACATGTTTATGATCTTTCATAGCTAAGAATCCAGTATTAATTAATTTAGATTTAATAAGATCCATAGGTGCATTAAATATTAAGAAATCTGAACTACGTTGTAAATACTTACCAGTTTTATGATAAGTACTAGTAGTAGAATGTTTAATATAAGTACCTAAAAACAAAATAGACTCTTTATAAGTATTAGTTATTTTAGTATTTGATATAGTTATACCTAATTCATTTAAACAAAATAAACTAATTTGATTTAAAATACTTTTAGTTATAGAATAAGAACCATTTATAGCTACAATTCAATCATCAAGATATCTAATATATTGAAGTTTATGATTAAACTCATCCTTAATTACATGTTTTCTTAACTTTACAGTATTATGTAATCTATGTATATTACTACTATTATAATTATTATCATATTTAGTATATAAACCTTTATAGTCAAATTTATTTTTTAAATTTATTATAAATATATCTAATTGATGTAGGTATATATTAGCTAATATAGGACTAATTATAGAACCTTGAGTAGAATTAATAATATCTGTTTTACGTCTATATTGATATAAATATCCAGAATTTAATGATTTACGTATTAATTCAATAAAACGTTTATCACTAATCTTATTAGACAATATATTAATTAATTTATCATGAGATATATTATCTATACAAGATTTAATATCTCACTTAATTCATCATGTACAACCTTTAAAAGAAGTAAATATATTTTTTAAAGCTGTATGACAATTTCTTTTTGGACGAAATCCATGAGATACATCTAAAAATATAGGTTCATATATAGCTTCTAATACCATACGTATTACTTCTTGTACTATTTTATCTTCAGGTGAACCTAAATATATTGAATTTAATTTAGTATTAGATATCATTTCTCGTTTAACTAAACTAAATTGAAAACTATTATTTCTAAGTTTATAGATTATTTTATCTAATCTTTTTTCAGATATACTATTTAAAGTAATAGAATTAAATTGAGAAGTATTCATATTATATTTTGCCCCCCTCCGAATCGAAGGATTCGGAGCGCGGAAATAATTTAAATTATCACAAGCTATTTTTAAAAGATCTTTATTCAGTATGAAAGTATCATATAAAGGACGATCAATAATACTATTAGGATTATCTTTTGATCTAGTTTTAAGACTATCTAATTTATTCAGTACATTTATTGAACTTCCTGTTCTTGTACTGTACATTCTTAGATTCTGACAATAATTATCAGATATATACACTGGTCCCCTTTGCTGAGCAGATATTAATCTGTTTCATAGAATATTACTTCTATTATATTTCAATAATGAATCAACTACTATGAGACCTCTGTTCGCATATCTATTACTAGATGAAGCGAATCCCGTAGTTATATATTTATTTCAGAATATATCCTTAGATCCATCACTCATTACCTTAATTGTAGTATTACCACAATATGAATTTATCTCCGTATTACCAAAACCTTCAAGGCCAGTTTCAGTATAATAAATTAACGTCCTATTGATAGCATGACGATCTCCTTTATTAGAGAGCATTGGTAATTGATGTTTGAATAGTATAATCCTGATCTTAGATATTTCACCTGAGTTTATTGTAATTTCTATCATATACAATATTTGACCCTTTTCTACACATGCTATGTTCAATATATGTTTTCACATAATACTTAAGTGTAGTGGTGTAAGTATATTTACGGAATACTTGTTGCTCTGTAACAACTTAATAAAAATACCACAACGGCGCACTTTAAATATAAAATATGGATGCATAGGTATTCTATCTACATTCCCTGTTATACCTAGTGGATTAGATGATCCATGTACATGTAATGCCATTAAATGCATACAAACTAATGCAGCTAATATAAATGGTAATAAGAAATGTAAAGCAAAGAAACGTTGTATAGTTGGATTACCTACACTAAAACCACCTCATATAAATGGTACAATATCATTACCGACAAAAGGTATAGCTGATAATAAATTAGTTATTACAGTACTACCTCATAAACTCATTTGACCATAGACTAAACAATAACCCATAAATGCAGTAGCCATAGTTAATATTAAGATAATTACACCTATAGTTCATAATAAAACTCTAGGTTGACGATAACTACCATAATATAAAGCTTTACCTATATGTAAATACATACAGATAAAGAAGAAACTAGCACCGTTGGCGTGAATATACCTTATTAATCAACCAGCATTAACAATAGAGTCAGCCTATTCGAACTGCTCTCCGAACCGTACGTGATAGTTTCCCATCATACGGCTCTCCATGATTTGCTAATATTATTAGAAAGAGGATAAATGTCAACTATTAATCTAATGATTATATTCATAATAATATGTATAAATTTATTATTTCTTGTATTCAACTATTCTACTGTATTCTCAACGGCTTAATTTACCTGCATGAAGTAAATCGTGATGATATACGCATAGTGGTACTTGTTTACGATTTATGTCACTAATTAGTTTACTATATTTATAACCATTAAACCGTAGATTAGCTTTAATATTGGCGATCTTCCGAAAATGATGCATTTCAATATTAGAGGTAACACCACATATACAGCATGCCATATCAAATGAAGTATCAGTAAGTTTAGATGATCAAGAGGAATTAATAGTTCTTTCAAGATTAGATAAGTTAATAGGTTTACCTAATTGATACTTGTTAGTAACTTTAAAGTTAGAAGGTTGTCTAAAGGATATACGAGTATTAGGATCTGTAAGGTTTTTACCAAATTTGGAAAAGGCCTTAGCCATCGTCTTTAACTTATACTTATTAGCAAGAGTTAAAGCACATGAAGCCTTCAGATATCAGATGATAGTACTAAGTTTAGGAAAATTAGATGCAAATGAATAAAAGCTGAGTATTCCATTTACTTTACTATTATATCAACTTATTATGTCATAATTACTAGCAGTGAACAGGTTAGTACGACCTTTGGGAAAGAGTTTTCCTAACCTATTACGTTTAAGTAGACCATTTGTAATAAGTATATCCTCTAATGCACTAATGGGTGCTTTAACTAGTGATCTGATGTGGCCTTTCTTTCATATTTTAAGACCCTTGTCATAGACCACATAGTCTTTATTCACTATATATGCACCTAAGAAATAGAAATGCTTCTTAGTAGATGATATAGTAGTTTTATCTTTATTAAGAGTTATACCACATTTGGAAAGTAAGAAGTCTGTAACGTCATCACGGATTTTATCACATTCTTTCATGCTACCTATCACTAATATTATAAAATCATCTACATATCTAATATAGAGTAAACGTCTAAAGTTAGGGTCCATAGGAACATAACCTGGAATACGTCTCATCTGTACAAGGTACTTAATAGCTAATTTATAGTCCTTATTATCTAAAGCTTTCTTTCTTAAATATTGTAAGTTAATGTAAACAGGGTTGTGCTTACGTAATTTACCTTTATAGAAAGAGGTAGCATAATCTTCCATGTATTGGTCTAATAAGTGTAACACAATATTAGCAATTACAGGGCTACAAACTGTTCCCTGAGGAACACCAATTTGAGTTTTGAAAGTGTTACCAGCCTTATCAACATAAGGATAAGCAATTAGTTTATTAATAAAAGCCTTCGTATTGGGACAAGCAATAGTTTTATTTATTTCTCTTCTAATAATATAATGAGGAATAGAATCAAAACATTTAGAGATGACACCTTGAATGACTCAACTATATGCTGCTCCTTGAAGTTTCACTGTATGTAGAGCATCATGTACACCTAGTTTAGGTCTAAAACCATAAGAAGATGATTTAAATAGGGGTTCATATATGGCTTCTAGTATAACAGCAAATGCTTTCTGTACTATTTTATCACTAGGAGATGTAATACTAAGAGTTCTAGTTTTCCCGTTACTCTTAGGTATTTCCACCAATCTAGCAGGGTTAAATTTATACGTACCCTTCTTGAGTTTCATGGCTGTTTTAATGAATCATTTCCCATTAATACCATCGAGAGTATAATTATCTATACCTTTTGTCATATTTCCTGATTTACCTTTGATTTCCTCATAACAAGCTATTAAAAAGTAAGGATCACCGATTAACTCATTAATATTAAAATATTTACCATCTTTACTAACATATTTCTTCAATTTCTTACTAACTTCTACAATCAGGACTGGACGTGTTTTACGCACAGGCTTTCTTGAAGGGTTTTTACCGCTTTCATGCTGATTATTGGAAGGTTTCATCAATGTTCACAATTCACTGTCCCCCTTCGCAATGTTATCATTATCAATATCATTACTACTACGAGGACTCTGATTCCGCTCGTCAATATTACTATTGTCGGTGGCGGTTAATTCCCTAAGTTCCGAGTCGTCTGATTTTAATGTCTTTTCATCCGTAGGTCCTTGCGTATCTGATTCCAAAGTATCAACTGTTGATTTACAGCAGTGTGCATAATATAGGTAACTAATATAATGAGAGACATTTATAATAGCTTTTATGCAAAATAGCCGTCATATTCCAATTAGGACTACCTGACTATGAGTATTCCACTTATACGTATCAAGTTTCTTAACGTAACCATAGATGAATCCCCTGAGGTTATCTATTATCTGTTCAAATACAGACTGTATAACCTGTTCCCATACTGCTATCCATTCCTCGAGTTTATTGGACTTACCGAAGTCGTAGTACTTGGAGGCTATTATTCATACCATATGATATAAACCTACAATAATAGGCATTGTAGACGCAATGCTTTCGACGCTCGACACAGAGGCGCACTCTCTCATAATGTGTTCAACTGAATCAAATGCTAATGAAGTATTTGACGAATAATGCATTGCAAGAAATAATCCACTAAGTATTTGTATAACTAAACATAAACCTAATAAACTTCCTACATTTCATCAGTAATTAATACTGCTAGGTTGTGGACTGTCTATTAAATAACTGTTCACTAACGATAAATACGCATTGCTTTTACGTAAAGGCATAAATATATAATTTGTTAATTAATTAATCGTAATAATTACTTTTATAAGTAATATATAGTCACCCCTCAATAGACTCAATAGACTCAATAGAAGGGGGGAGCTACAAATCGATGTAAATATGAAAATTAATTCAATGAATATAAACTTTTAATTTGTCACTTCCTTTTATAAAAATGATTAATAAAAATATTATGAGATATAAGGATTCAAACCTTATTATTGTAATTTATACATAAATATCATTATTATCTCTATACTCTAATATTATTAGCCATATTATAGATTATCTAACTATTATAGTATTAATATTTCAGTCCGAAGGAGGGGGGGCGAATATAGATTATGATTGAAGTATACATATATATATAGACTTAGATATAGAGTACATTGTGTAGGGATTCGAACCCTATTATATCAAGTTGCAATTGACAGTCTAACCTTTAGTCACAACGATATGATATGATATAATACAATATATTACGCTTTTACAGAAACTATTAATATAGTCTTTATAATTCTTAAATTATATATATATGGAAATATTATAGTTAATATATATAACATGGAAATATTAACAATGCCTACGCTGAGAATCGAACTCAGACAGATCGCGCTTCAAGCGATTGCTCTACCATTTAAGCTACAAAGGCAAATATAGATACTATATATATTTCAGCGCTTAGTTCTCCTTTGGAAAAAGAAGGGGCGTAAAGAAGGCAATAATAACAAGGGTAAGTAGAATTGAACTACTACTAAGTATGTTGAAGACACCTGCTCTACCATTAAGCTATACCCTTTATAAACTATTATATCAATAATTATTGACTTATCAGGATTCGAACCTGAATTATTATATTAGAAGTATAGAATTCTACCATTAAATTATAAGTCATACTAAATATATATTATATCAAACTTAATTAATATAACTTCTATAGATTAGATTATCTAAAAGTATTGAAATATATCAAATATAGATAGCCGAAGGAGGGGGACATAGATTATATATATCAAGCTGAAAGGATTTGAACCTTTGATTTCCTACACCCAATATAGGCACGTTACCACTACGTTACAGCAAGTATAGTTTAGTATAGTTTAGTAATAGTAATAGTATAATCTAGTATAGTCTACTATAGTTTAGTAATAATAGAGTCTAATATAGTATAATATAGTATAATTTAGTACTAGTTTAGTATATAAGTAATAATGGAATTGAACCATTAGCTAAGATGTGTAAAATCCTTGATTTACCATTAATCGAATTACTTAATATATATATTCCCCCTTATTTATAAGGGGGGGGCAATAATAATTTATTATAAAATATAACCTCACCTATAGATTCTATATCTTATTATTCAAATACTCATCTCTCTGCTATTTCATTAAGCAATGCTTAAACTTAAGTAAACAGTTATATAAATAAGAAATACATAAAATGTAAAGATTAATATACAGATAATTATATATTCAGATAAATTATAACTTCCATATTCTAATAAGTATTAATATATACTTTAATAGTTTTTATTATTGATAGAATAAATTAACTTGTAGTAATATCATATTTGATCACATTGAAATTAATATATATATATTTAATTAAATAGGTATATATATATATATACAAAGGATAGTGTTAAGATATACATATAGTATGAATTAAGTTACTACCTATAATAGGGTATAGGAATAATTATATTTAGTATGACATACTAATATTAGAGACTAGATAATTAGTCAATATTTATTGATACAAATTTAAATTTACTTTATAAAGTATAATAATCTAGAATAGAAGTATTTACAATATTTCTTCATTTATTATTATAGGTGTAGTATCCGATCATATATTATTGATATATATTTTTCTTCTTTTATCAAAAGAATCATGATTAATAACAATTTTCATATTATCTATACTTACATAACCTTCACTATAATGTCTTATAGAGGATAATTTATCAGCAGAGACATTTATTCTATTAAGTAAATCTTTATAATCATTAGTAGTTAGGGATTCAGTGATACCTTTAGCTACAGATTTTATAGAACCATCATTATTAATAAGATGATATAATTTACCAGATATAAAATAACCTTCACTAATAGTATGTTCTAATTTAAATTGACCTAACTCAGTACCAACATATTCACTAGGTAATTCCTTATCTATAATAAGACTATCAGTATCACAATAGTATAAAGTATAACCTAGACTTAATAAATGAAGTTTAAGTTTATTAAGATATACACGAGAATAAGAATTAATTATAGAAGTCATAATTACAGAAGATTCCTTATATATAGGTGTTTTAGTTTTTACCTTATTATTAGCTAATCATTCACTACTAGCACTATAATATTTATTAATATCTATATTATCTAATATCTTGGACATTTTAGGTCTAAAATTACTAGTTATAAGGTAAGAATCTACAATTTCATGAGTATTTTCTAATTTATAACCTATACTTAATAAATCAAATATAGGTTTATCTAAAAGAAATGTTCTTTTATGATTATGCTTAATACCTAATCTACCTATTAAATTATTTAATAATGATTTAAATAATACTCTATCAGCACCAGAACATCTACTTTTTAACATATAGAAATGATTTACATAATTTGTAAATGGAGAATTCATAGTATTAAATACATAACCTTCATAAATATATATTTTATAACCATTATCTAAAGCTAATTTCAATTCTACACTAGTTCAATAACCATTAAAATTACCTAAAGGATATAATACACCATTATCAGTTTTATAAGGTAATAAACCAAAAGGTAAATCTAAAGGTGATTCTACATAAGCTTTAAAATAACCAATATTATTATCAAAATTAAATATAGACTTTTCTATATCTGTTATTAATATAGGTGTTTTATAAGCTATAAAAGTATATCTATTACCAGGCATCTTATTAAGAGCAGAAAAAGGATAAAAAGAATTAATATCATAATAATATAAATCTTTACCATAAGGTTTATATACAGTAGTTATACCACCAAAGAGTGTTTTACTAACAAACGTATAAACATTATGTACATTAACTTCAGGTATAGACATATAATCTTTACTAAATAATTGTTTAAATACATTTAAAGATAATCTAGATATAGTAGGATTTTTAATTAAATCTATACGAAAAGAAACATATAATGTATTTCTAAAACATTCCATTATTAATAATAAGACCTTAAGATCTTGTTTTAAATAATTTAATAAATCATCTTTTAAACTATAATTAGTTTTATAGATTTCATTATATTCATCATTACTTATATTAGGATAATATTCTATTGAGGGTGTAGTACCTACATAATCTAATGTAGATTCATTAACAAAAGAATAAGGAAAGTAACCTTTACTCTCATTAATATTAAAATCATTAGCTAACTTAGATAAAGAATTAGTTAATAATACATAACTATCTAGAAAATGTATTTTATGTATATTATCATCTATCTTAATACTTACTGTTAATTTTATTAATATATTATCTCTATATAGAAATTCACAATTAAATATATCTAAAGGATTATTCTTATTGTGTATCAATATACTATTTAATATATATATACTATCAAATTTACCAAAATTATGACAATAAAAAGTATAATCATTATAATCAGTAAGCATTTTTCTTAAACAATCTATTACCATTATATTTGATATCTCTTTATAATTTATACGTTTAATAGAACTAATCATATAATTATAAATACTAAATATATTATAGTTTATATCATTAATATAATCTCTATAATATAAAGATCTTAGAAAACTATTAAAACAACTATAACCAAGAGCTATAACAACATAATCATCACCTATACGAGCAGTTTCTATATCAAAAGAACCTATACTAGGTGTACTACCTTTCTTAGCAATTTTATTATATTTAACATTCTCAAGAATTAGATCATTTTTAACATTTTTTAAATATTTAGAGAAAGTAGTAAGATAATTATCTATTTTTAAGAATACATATTGACCTTTATCAATTACTAAACTAGTATTATTAATTGATCTAATTATTCTATTATCTGATAATAATTCATCATATACACAATTACGAATAACAACAACATTATTACGAACATTAAAAACATATATAGTATGTTTATTAGGATCAACACAAGGTAAAACTAATAATCCACTAACTGAATCTATATTATTAAATTTTCATACAAATTCATATAGACTACTATTCTCATTATTAAATACAGATTTCATTTCAGTTAACAATTTATTTTTATCATTTATAACATAATTTATTAAATTATTATTACATGCATTAATTAAGAATCTAGAATATACATTACCTAAATTAGACTTATCTATTAAATTACTAACAGAACCAATATCAAAACAAAGAGGTATTTTCTTACGTTCAAATGATGTTTTAATATTATTATAATCAGTAGATCTTATACTATTAGATATATTATTAGTTATTATTGAATTCTCATTTATATACTTAATTACTTCTAAATTTTCATTTAAATTAACCTTTATATAACTATCACAATTTTTAATATCTTTAACTAATGAAGAATAATCACAACCATAATTATCAACCATACTATCTAAACTTAAAAAGATAGTATCATATACATCACTAATATTATGTATATTAACTAATACACTCTCAGTGTTAACTGTATAAAAAGAATCACCCATACCATTACCTAAATCAGTATACAATACACAAGAAACATTAAAATATCTATTAAGATTATCACTAGGTATTAACTTTAATAATTCAGTTTCAAGAGTAGCTCTACTAAAAGAAGATAATTTAAAATATAAACTATACTTTAAACTAGTATCAATAATCTCTAATTTAGTATTATTATTACTATTATTATTATTATTACTCATAAAATTACTATGAGTAAACATTCTTATAAAATAACTATAAGAAATATTATTATATTCAAAACGAATTGAATTAATTAAGAACTTAAACATCGTATTATTATTATTATTATTATTATTATTATTATTATTATTTTTATATATTTTATTTATATATATAGTCTATAAACTATCATTAAATTAACATTAAATTAAGGATACAAACTAAGAAAGAGGGGGAAAATACATTAAACAACTTATCCAAAAAATGGTTCAGGGTCATTAAGGAGATAAGAATGAGAAAACCTCTCCTTCTACAATGACCTAAAAAAAATTAATAAACAGTGTGGTGTACACAC